GACCTGGTAAGTGATGTAATGATAGGTGCATGATTTGAGGGAGCTGCAATTTTTCTCAATGGTCAGCGACATATGTATTAATGGTATCAATATAGGTAAAAATTCAACTTGACTCAATATATAGTATATTTTCGCCGTGACAGAATTCAGAAATCAAATATAAGATGTCATCAATCATTCTGCAGATATCTTGACATCAATTATTGATATCTGTATTAGATATCTGTAAAATGAAAGACCGCAGACGAATTCTTTCGGTCCCAAAATGGCCAGAAATGGTTTACATGCATCTTCAAATATTCCCGGCGACATCCGTAGATTCTTCCCCGTTCGAAAATGACTGCAAGTTATGCACTACTCGGGAACAAACTGACAAATGTCGCATGTCATCACGTCATTATTAGAAATATTAAATCACCAATTTACAGACGATGTTTCTGAAAATATATAACAAATGTGGAAGTCGTTGATAATAGCATCAATTCAAGATATCAATAATTAATTTATAAAAATCTGTATTTCATTGCAAGAAATCAGATATTGAAAACTGACATCATTACAAAACATGAATTATCGCACATCACATAATATCTTTAAATCCTGGCATTATATCATTAATCTAATTTACGATATGGGCAAGTCTTTTCGGGATATCATTAAATCACTTCAACATATCCGTCATTACTTTCCTGATATCATTAATCTTATTGTAGATATCTATTATCTATAATTGGGATATCTCGTATTGATTTCTAAGTCTCTTAAAGTTTATTCCAGCAATCGCTAGTTTATTCAAGATGTCTTTAAAACAATTGATGACATCGCTTATTTCGCAAACAAATGTGGAAATGGCTTACCAGATATAATGAAGTTAATGATGGTGTTAAGTATCTTTTGATACATTTAACTATCAAATCATTTACATACAACATTCAGAAATTAACACGTGCTCTACAATACAATCCACATTTTCCATAATGATGCGATTCTTTTATCGTGCGGTTGGGTATAAATTCATAGCAAACATCCTCTACAGAGAGTAAAAATAGTAAAAAGCATTTGGAATGTAAGTTCATAATATGAAATACATGCAATCATGTATTCTACCATGAATCAAGAAAATACTACATTCAATTGTTCAGAAAAATCAGACGCATCAATCTGATTGATTGACGCTCATCTGATTGGGCCGCTTCACCGCGCATTAACAAATCTTATTGTGAGAACTACTTCCGTTTGACCACAATGATGGCGGATCATAACAACAACTCCATGGATTTTGACGCTGACTTTCGAATTTTACACATAGGCAATTGGAAATTTTTGGATTAAAAATGCGTTTGATTTCATTGCGCTTCACTGCGCACGTATAGAACACTGCCCCACTACTTCAGCTTGACCACCAACATGACTAATATCAACACAACAGACGTGATGGAAATGCTGATGAAACATTTATTAAACTCGAAAAATACAGTTATATGATTTTCCCCTACAATTATGAGGGAACCTCACTATCATATTACCTTCTATTATAAAAATATTCAAACTCAATTACAATACACAGCCCCAAACATAAACAAAACAATATCTAACATATAAATCAGAAAGCCTTGTAAAATACATCCCTATCTATACAAAATATGCAGCAAAACATTAGTAAATATTTACCTACCTGGTAAATGGTATATTTAATTCCGTTTAGAATGGGAAATTTGCAAGATAGATCTAAGGGTCTGGCGAAACACCACATTTATGACACTCATAGTCATACTCCATCATATCCCGCTGCATCGTTCACAGAATAATTCTGCTCTCTGCCAGCTTCCTTGGTTGTCACTGTTATGTTCATCTACTTTGAAAACGAATGGACACAGTCCAGTCCCAAACGATGAAACAAAGTTCCAAGGAATCACAAGTTAGTCGCATGTACACTAAGCAGCAGCACTGTGACTCTTTTGTCGCATGCCGGGGTGGAGGCAGTACGTGAAATCATGATCGGCCGGTCATAAAAATCAACAGTCTTTGATGAGTTACAGGTCGTAGGTTGATCAGGAAAGGATCTATTCTTCGATTCTGCAGGGTTCAGATTCAACAGTCAGTCAAGTATTGTCCACTGTCACTTCAAATTTCAACCTTTCGCAAAATGTAAACACTGGCTCGTCCGCCATTTCAAACTGTTGCGTAACTGTCTACTTCGAAGAAAATAAGTAGGTCAGACGATTCCATTATAGTGTGGCCAGGGGGGTACAGTTTCACGGCACACAAAACAATAGGCTGGTTTTAGTCGTGTGGAGTTGGGATGGAAAAACCAAGATCTCGGGTATTACATAATTGCATTGAATAAACAGTAGTTTGATTTCTTTGGACAGAATATTGTTATGTTGTAATGTTAAAAAATACGAACGGCACCTACCGCCCCTTCACAGACGAGTTCAATTCGCCTCTCGTCCCATGCCGGATTACGCAGTGTCTTCCGCAGAGCGAGGAAGTTCGATTTTAAATGGGTCATAGAATGGAGATAACCCTAGTGTGTTTGAAAATCAGAGACATATTTTATTGAATTGATGGCGACTAAATATTTCAAAACCTCACGCTGAAACCCAATTCAGTAAAGCACGCTGATTTTCGCACACCAGGTTTCTCTAAATTGTACGTATAAAATAGAGACTTCCAATTGACAAATTTAGATATTTATCACAAACAATCAATTCAGTAAAGCACTGTCAACAGGAGGTCGACTATAGAACAATTGACAGTTCAAACACCCGACCATTGGACAGATTTGAAATAATAAATCCCATCACATTTACATCATTCTGGTTTTATTGATCGATGTGGTAGATCTTAACAACCTGGGTGCCTATTCTCCAAGGTGTCCCAGCTAAGACAGATCCTAACAAGTTAGGACAGGAGTTTGGACATCCTACCGTTTGGATAAAACCCATTCTCGAAACGACCCTATCCCTGTAATAACTTGAGCTACCTATCCTTGCTAGGATAGCGAGCTCTTCAGTAGGTGAGATAGAAAAACATTCATTAAGTTGGGGATTCCCCTAAATATTACCCATGAATCATTCCACAAAAAAAATAACTACAATCTCGTTTTACAAGATAAATGGACTAGAAATCGAAGTAAAAGCTTGAAAGCAGTGAAATTCAGCTTTTGGTGGACTTAGTAGATCTAGAAGAAATTATAATTAATTATAGTTATAATTAAAATACACATCTTGTATCCAGAAAAATAGAGTGAATTAGTACTTGAATAGATTTAAAATATTTAATGAGATTTTTCACATCTATTTGTTCGAATTACCATACTTCCAGAAAAAAGTATTGTTATATGTTAATATATTCGATATTTTCATCACATTATAGTAGTTTTGAAGTTTTTGAAAATTCATTTATTTGACAAGGAGATAACATTTTTACTTCAGAGTTTGAAAGTCTGCCAAAAAAAGCAATAAGATATGTGAAAAAAATATTTTCATTTTATTTGTTTTTAATGAAAATCATGACTTGAACTCTCATTATGCGTCATCTCACAAACTGAAAATTCATCTAGGAAATAAACAGGAGTTACTTCTCCTATCAATTTGGCCTTGACATTGACATTTCACGGCAATGTGACAGAAAAGAGCAATGTTGTGATTAAAAAGGCCGAGAATAGGTAAGAATTGAACAAATCTCTTTTGTAGATCTAAAGAATATGTGCATTGCAACAAGTGTGTCTATTCATTACCGATAAATTGATAATATAAACACACAAAAAACTCTTAACTTATCCAAACTGTGTGCTGTTGTAAATTCAAATGTAATTTAGGCGAGTTATTTTGTTTGACAACGTCAAAATTGGTGAACAAACAAGAACCGCCATGGTGACTTCCAGTAAGATAGACTTAGGACAAGTCAGAACCTAACCTACCATTTGTCCTAAGTTAGGATATCCTAGCGCTAGGATACTTTTCGAGAATAAGGTAGGACACCTATCCTAGTCCCTAGGATCAAAGTTAAATATCCTAGGGCTAGGATTCTTTCGAGGGGCACTGGATCTATAAATTCAGCTTTCTAGTGCATGACCCATTGGTACATTTACTTCCACTTCAGTTGAATTCGAATGTGACGGTCTGTCCATTAAATTATATCGTTTTAAATTACTGAGTGTTTGAATATCTATGGGTCGTAGAATTACCTGGGATGGTGGGGTAGCCCTGTGGTTAAAGCGTTCGCTGGTCACACCGAAGACCCCGGGTTCGATTCCCCACATGGGTACAATGTGTGAAGATCAGTTCTGGTGTCCCCCGCCGTGGTATTGCTGGTATATAGCTAAAAGCGGAGTAAAACTAAACTCACTCACTCACGTAGATTGACCTATTTCCTCGTGACATGATCTGAAAAATGCAACTTGTCGAAAACAAACAAACACTGTCCGCTAAACGAGAGATTCCAGTTAAGACATCAACTGTACATCATTCTGCAGTCTCTCGTCAAGATTTGCATAATATAAAAATTATAAAATGGATGATGATAACGATATACATACGAAGTATAGTTTATACTGAATGCCTATGTAAATGCATACATACATAATAATACTGATAATGAATGTTTTGAGTAAAGTTCAATGTTGCTGAACAAGCTTAGTAGTAAGTTCCCAATTACACAGATCAATGCTCATGCTGTTGATCACTGGATTGTCTGGTCCAGACTCGATTATTTACATACCGCCGTCATATAGCTGGACTATTGCTGAGTGCGGCGTAAAACTAAACTCACTCTGTTGCAAAGATGAATATCTTACAAGCAGCACAGTTCATCTTCTCTTTTTTGTGTGTTTCTTTGTTGTTTAACGCCACACTTAGCACCATTCGAGCTGTATGGCCGCAGTCTGTAAATACTCGAGACTGGACTAGTCAATCGAGTGCTTTGCATCATGCGCATCGATCTATGCAATTGGGTTAGTCGCCTCTTACGACAAGCATGGGTTACTGAAAACCAAATCCATCCCGGATCTTCACTGGAGACAAGCATGGGTTGCTGAAGTCCAGTTCTATCCCGGATCTTCACGGGTTCATCTTCTCTACTCCATTTAATTATTGACGTAGATGTTTTCGACTGAATCATAGAGATCCTCATAAGTGGAACAATCTCCGGCGATGTCTCTCGCCCAAGCTCCATTCAAGGTCGGATTTCCTTGTCTTCGGATTCCTCCGTCTCCTGGTTGGATCTTCCCAGCAACATCACCATCTCTATCCCCAGAGGTCCCCAGAGCTGCCAGGACCCCACTGTTAGTGTAAATGTTTCCAGCACCAGGACCGCTAGTCGTCAGATCCATAGCATCGTTGAAAGGTCGGGATCCATCTTTGTTTCTTCTTCGATGTGCGCAGTAGCAAGCAGTCCTGCAATACACAAAAGACATTTTCCATGTCCATACCTGTGACAATGTGTTTCTTTCCAAACACCCACACTAAGTTCTCGACTGCCCCGATTTGGAATATATATATATATATATATATTGCTTGACCATTTTGATGAAATGTAACAGCTTTGCTGAAGACAGTAAGACGTCTGAAGGTATATTTGTCGTCATGTCAATAGCATCGAACTGTCTATATACTGCACAGGACTATAAAAATATACTCTTCTCTTGAAAAGAAGGGGATCATAAATTATAGATATTGATACCAAGTATCAGAACAAAGGAAAGTGTTCAAGACAAAGAGCAAGACCTGGTGCGCTACACACGTGGGTTGAGCGTCATTCCTGATGCTGACACTTTGAGGATCATTACTTTGGCTAATGGTATAAGTTCTGCCAGCCATACAGGTGTGATTTACTTGACTGCTTTCATGTTCTGTGTGTGGACCAACATTGTGGCGTCTGCAACGTTGTTAGCATGCCAACGTCGTTGAAACTGAGATAACCGTCGCTGGTCACGTGTGCTCCAGATGAATCCCGATTCACATCGTACTTTCTACATAGGCGTGATCGTGTTTAGTATTTAGTAAATCCCTTCACGTCGCGTCATACGGACTAATTATGTTAAAATGTCTGTTCTATTACAATAGTATCAGGTAGGCCTACCAGATCAGCGACGTGACGATGACTGAAACCACGGAGGCGATGACAGCGTACATGACGTGAACTTGGGCCGGGTCTGGAACACAAAGCAGTAACATAAGCATGAACGCCCGCACTCTTTGGAACGAAAAACTTCAGAACGTTTGCCTATTACTTAATGTTCTCGCTAAACTTAAACTGTATTTTTGAAAAAGGAACACTGACGCAACTGTAGGTCACTATGCAACCCCTGTAGGTCCGGGTCAGAATTGGTCTCCAGCAACCCATGCTTGTCTCCCCTGAAGATCCGGATTAGAATTGGTCTTCATCAACCCATGTTTGTCTCCCATTAAGGTCCGGATAAGAATGTTTTTCAGCAACCCAACCTTGTCTCTCATGAGGATCCGGATTAGAATTAGTCTTCATCAACATGTTTGTCTCCCCATTAAGGTCCGGATAAGAATGTTTTCAGCAACCCAACCTTGTCTCCTGAAGATCCGGATTAGAATTGGTCTTCATCAACACATGTTTGTCTCCCCCAAGGTCCGGATAAGAATGTTTTTCAGCAACCCAACCTTGTCTCCCTGAAGATCCGGATTAGAATTGGTCTTCATCAACACATGTTTATCTCCCCATTAAGGTCCGGATAAGAATGTTTTTCAGCAACCCAACCTTGTCTCCCTTGAAGATCCGGATTAGAATTGGTCTTCATCAACACATGTTTGTCTCCCATTAAGGTCCGGATAAGAATGTTTTTCAGCAACCCAACCTTGTCTCCCTTGAAGATCCGGATTAGAATTGGTCTTCATCAACACATGTTTGTCTCCCATTAAGGTCCGGATAAGAATGTTTTTCAGCAACCCAACCTTGTCTCCACTGAAGATCCGGGATTAGAATTGGTCTTCATCAACACATGTTTGTCTCCCATTAAGGTCCGGATAAGAATTGGTCTTCATCAACACACATGTTTGTCTCCCCATTAAGGTCCGAGGATAAGGGTTGGTCTTCATCAACACATGTTTGTCTCCCCATTAAGGGTCCGGATAAGAATGTTTTTCAGCAACACAACCTTGCCTCCCCTGAAGATCCGGATTAGAATTGGTCTTCATCAACACATGTTTGTCTCCCATTAAGGTCCGGATAAGAATGTTTTTCAGCAACCCAACCTTGTCTCCCTGAAGATCCGGATTAGAATTGGTCTTCATCAACACATGTTTGTCTCCCATTAAGGTCCGGATAAGAATGTTTTTCAGCAACCCAACCTTGTCTCCCTGAAGATCTGGATTAGAATTGGTCTTCATCAACACATGTTTGTCTCCCATTAAGGTCCGATAAGAATGTTTTCCAGCAACCCAACCTTGTCTCCCCTGAAGATCCGGATTAGAATTGGTCTTCATCAACCCATGTTTGTCTCCCATTAAGGTCCGGATAAGAATTGGTCTTCATCAACCCATGTTTGTCTCCCATTAAGGTCCGGATAAGAATTGGTCTTCATCAACCCATGTTTGTCTCCCATTAAGGTCCGATAAGAATGTTTTTCAGCAACCCAACCTTGTCTCCCTGAAGATCCGGATTAGAATTGGTCTTCATCAACACATGTTTGTCTCCCATTAAGGTCCGGATAAGAATTGGTCTTCATCAACACATGTTTGCCTTCCATTAAGGTCCGGATAAGAATTGGTCTTCAGCAACCCATGCTTGTCTCCCCTGAAGATCCGGATTAGAATTGGTCTTCATCAACCCATGTTTGTCTCCCATTAAGGTCCGGATAAGAATGTTTTTCAGCAACCCAACCTTGTCTCTCATGAGGATCCGGATTAGAATTAGTCTTCAGCAACCCATGCCTGTCGTAAGAGGTGCCTTTCGGGCTCGCTGACTTACGTATCACTATTTTGCAGATCGAGGTTCATGATACCAATCACGGGATTGCTTGGTCTGTTCACAGATCGCCATCATTTAGCTGACACATTGCTGAGTGTGGCTTTAAACAATAGGTAACTATGCAATATCACACCGAAGCTTTATACCATCTATAGCAAGATAAGAGAAATAACCCCAATATGTTGGTTTCAGAAGCAGAATCAACAGACTTTACATATATACATTATCTTATTCACAATGACTCCTAATTTTCGATTAAATCCACATTGATTCCATTATCTAGCAGGATGTCTTAACATCAAAGAATCAAATCACTGTTTTAGTAATTTTACCTCTCTATATTACGTTGATGCTTGAAAGCTTGAAATAATTTAGTTTCTACTCCACAATGTTGAGGATTTTCTCACCATTAAGAAAGGGGCACGACTTCCATTGCTTGGCTCCCTTAGTTTCAAGTTTACATTCATCAAAACACCCTCTGTTGTTCTGTCCAATACGACAGCACGGCTCTCTGTCCCTGGACACCTTTCTGGTGGATGTGTCGCAGGTGTTCCAGCCTCCCCACCCTCCCCATGAACACTTGGAGCAGTTTCCATCAGTCACTTCTGAAACCAGCATTCTGTACCATCAACATCTGCATGGGCATTTAACAAAACAGCATTCTGTACCATCAACATCTGCATGGGCATTTAACAAAACAGCATTCTGTACCATCAACATCTGCATGGGCATTTAACAAAACAGCATTCTGTACCATCAACATCTGCATGGGCATTTAACAAAACAGCATTCTGTACCATCAACATCTGCATGGGCATTTAACAAAACAGCATTCTGTACCATCAACATCTGCATGGGCATTTAACAAAACAGCATTCTGTACCATCAACATCTGCATGGGCATTTAACAAAACAGCATTCTGTACCATCAACATCTGCATGGGCATTTAACAAAACAGCATTCTGTACCATCAACATCTGCATGGGCATTTAACAAAACAGCATTCTGTACCATCAACATCTGCATGGGCATTTAACAAAACAGCATTCTGTACCATCAACATCTGCATGGGCATTTAACAAAACAGCATTCTGTATCATCAACACCTGCATGGGCATTTAACAAAACAGCATTCTGTACCATCAACACCTGCATGGGTACTTAACAAACAGCATTCTGTACCATCAACATCTGCATGGGTATGGGCATTTAACAAAACAGCATTCTGTATCATCAACACCTGTATGGGCATTTAACAAAACAGCATTCTGTATCATCAACACCTGCATGGGCATTTAACAAAACAGCATTCTGTACCCATCAACACCTGCATGGGTACTTTAAACAAAACAGCATTCTTGTACCATCAACACCTGCATGGGCATTTAACAAAACAGCATTCTGTATCATCAACACCTGCATGGGCATTTAACAAAACAGCATTCTGTATCATCATCAACACCTGCATGGGCATTTAACAAAACAGCATTCTGTATCATCAACACCTGCATGGGTACTTCTAACAAAACAGCATTCTGTACCCATCAACATCTGCATGGGCACTCTAACAAAACAGCATTCTGTATCATCAACACCTGCATGGGCATATTAACAAACAGCATTCTGTATCATCAACATCTGCATGGGCATTTAACAAAACAGCATTCTGTATCATCAACACCTGCATGGGCATTTAACAAAACAGCATTCTGTATCATCAACACCTGCATGGGCATTTAACAAAACAGCATTCTGTACCATCAACATCTGCATGGGCATTTAACAAAACAGCATTCTGTACCATCAACATCTGCATGGGCATTTAACAAAACAGCATTCTGTACCATCAACACCTGCATGGATACTTAACAAAACAGCATTCTGTACCATCAACATCTGCATGGGCATTTAACAAAACAGCATTCTGTATCATCAACACCTGCATGGGCATTTAACAAAACAGCATTCTGTACCATCAACATCTGCATGGGCATTTAACAAAACAGCATTCTGTACCATCAACATCTGCATGGGCATTTAACAAAACAGCATTCTGTACCATCAACATCTGCATGGGCATTTAACAAAACAGCATTCTGTACCATCAACACCTGCATGGGCATTTAACAAAACAGCATTCTGTACCATCAACACCTGCATGGGTAATAACAAAACAGCATTCTGTACCATCAACATCTGCATGGGCATTTAACAAAACAGCATTCTGTACCATCAACATCTGCATGGGCATTTAACAAAACAGCATTCTGTACCATCAACATCTGCATGGGCATTTAACAAAACAGCATTCTGTACCATCAACATCTGCATGGGCATTTAACAAAACAGCATTCTGTACCATCAACATCTGCATGGGCATTTAACAAAACAGCATTAACCTATCTGGTCATAAATCTGTTTCTGCTAAACCAAGGCTGGGTATCGTATATCGTCATACATTGTGGAGTGTAGAATGTATACAGATATTTACATAGATTTCAGCAAGTAAATCGTGCTTCTTCACGTTGAGGCCAAAATGGTTCAAATCCATGATGTCCGAATCACGACATTTGACCTGTCAGTACCAGTACTTGTTCAAACTGTTATGTGTCCACGCATAATGTTTTTCACATTTCTCTCAGCGCCAAGTCCTTTTATAAGTGAAATACACAGTACTTTTTTCATTAAAGCGCATTGTCAGATTCTTCACTAAAGCGCATTGTCAGATTCTTCAATAAAGCGCATTGTCAGATTCTTCACTAAAATTGTCAGATTCTTCACTAAAGCACGTTGTCAGATTCTTCACTAAAGCGCATTGTCAGATTCTTCACTAAAGCGCATTGTCAGATTCTTCACTAAAGCGCTTAATCAGATTCAAACATAAAGATGTACCTTCAGAACAGCACTGGCCTGAGTACCCCTGTGTGCAATTACACATGCTGTTGGAGAAACTACCGCCGTTGTAACATACGTCATTACAAGCATCCGACTGAAGTGTGTCCTCTTCAGACAGTCCACAGTCCGACAGACAGTCCTCGACGTCCTGACCTTCACAGCAACATGGTGACCTTGACCTTGACCTGTAACCTCCACCACAATCTTTACTACAGCCCCTCCACTGTTGCCATGTGTTCCATGAACATAAAGAGCAGCTTGGTTGGCCATCTGTACGATAAATATTCAGTAAAAGTAAGTATAAGTAAGTCAACACAGCACTAGAAAAACACAAGGTACCGTCAAAATCCTGAACGTCAACCTCAAGTACAGTACCTCTTGGATCCGGTGCTAAATCGTTGGAATGGACCCCGTCAGGGATTTACTAACCACACCAACCAATAATAACATGTTCAATACTTAAGTATCTAAAATGAATTAAAGTAATATTTTTGTTCACTTTTAATAAAGATTTACTCACGAACTCTGTGTAAGGGACCGTTCATAATTAATGGGAGGATGATGATTTTAAGGGGGTCACCCATTTTGTTTTGGAGAGGCAGGGGGGTCATCAATTTTGTACACATGTACTAGGGGGATGTGGTCATCAATTTTGCACATAAAATTCTTTTAAAAATATGCTAAAACATTTTGGGAAGGGAGGGGGGGTCATTGATTTTGTACATGACATGCAGGGCGGGGTCACTTACTTTGTACATAAACTTTAAGCGGGGGGGGTGGGGGGCATTCACATTGTACATGCTTCTCCATAAGAATCATCATCATCCCCCCATCCCCACCCTAGCCATTATTTATGAACTGTCCCTAAATGAGAACATTGTTTAGCGGTCATCCCTACTTGCTGCACATTAATCGTATTTTCGTAGCCTTTCCCAACTTCCCTTTCGGCGACTATAATATGCATATTAAATGCAAGTAAACAGTTCATTTTGAAAACGTATCAATCATCTGAATGATATAGTAGTCCACGTTGATGGGCGTATTATGAGAAAATAGCCGTGATCATGAAAAACACTCATTTTAAGGGATGGCCGCCAGCTTACACAGGCGTTCGATCAAAAGAATGATATTGGTAACAAGAAAACCTTTTTTAGCCATTCGTGTGTGTTGGATTTCCAGAGGCGACACTCGTTTCGATTTGAAGATCAGCTGTAGGAAATATACCCAGAGGCAAAAGCTCTTGTGACGTGGAATCGTTATATTGGTAATGCTATGAATGATTTTTCTTTAACCAGAAAAGGAGTCCACGGTCAAAAAAATGCAAACGAGCAGTTGATGTTCGCAATTTCCAAGAAGGAGGACATATTTGAGAAATATGGCCAGCAAATTTCGGTTTGAAAGACCAGACAACATGACATTTTTTTGTCATTTTCACTCAGAGTCTGAAGAAGTGCAGTAAACAATTCTCTGTTCGTCCTTTGCCACGTTGCTCGTCGATGCAACGTCAATAAAAACACAATCTGTCACTTATGGTAATGTTTCCAACAAAGCAATCAAGTTGAAGACATTCATCAATGTCCATTGGCCTCAATAAGGCGATGGTGGCTTCTGCATGAATCAATTTAAATTAAACATTTAGTGGTCTTAATTCAACGATAAAGGACCGCAAAATTGAAAACAGAGTAGCTTTATCTTCATTCAAGCACGACTGATAAGTGTTTTAAAACCGAACTGTTTGGCGCGCAAGAACACAATTGCAAGGCGCGAAGGGCCCTTTTTCCTGGAAATTGCTTGGAATCGTCCCTTTGAGGGACAGGTTGTGTAATGAACAAAATAAGACATTTTCAACAACATTAATGCTATATTTCAGAAACCAGAATGCTTGTATTTGTGACAAGTAGCATACATAAATAAAAGAAATACAGTTTATACTGTGAGCAAGTACAATTATTTGATTTTTCTCAAACGAATTATTGATCTCCCCTACTGTATGACAATCGACTCGCCCAAATTCAAGCCGTGAACTCTCTAAGTTTAGTCGCCGCTAACTTTATTCACGGAAATAATTGTTGATAACCACCCTACTATTCCCAATTTGGAAAAGACCTAACATGCCACGTTTTATGTGGGATACAAGGACGGTGGAAATGGAAGGACTGGGCATTACGGCCGGGACGGGAGAGGTCAGGTTAGGACGTGTGGGCCGACATGTGTTGTCGGCGTCAACATACGTAGATCTGGACCCGGTTTGAAGATACTGCCGCTTTTGCGCTGCTGGCGGATTTTCCATCTTCGTAGTTTCTTCACTGTTATTAGGGTCAAGAAATTCTTCTTCAAACAATTCGCTCTTTACTTCAAAAAACAGGGGCGGTGGGGTAGCCTTGTGGTTAAAGCGTTGGCTCGTCACGCCGAAGACCCGGGTTCGATTCCCCACATGGGCACAATGTGTTAAGCCCATTTCTGGTGTCCCCCGCCGTGATATTGCTGGAATATTGCTAAAAGCGGCGTAAAACTAAACTCAGTCAGTCAGTACTTCAAAAACACCAAAGATGCTGCCGAGATAGAAATAAACGATGTCCGACATGTTTGTTTACAAAGAATAGGGTCAACGAGTTCGTTGTATTCAAACGCGGTGAATCGGTCACTTTAATAGCGGTCATAAACTGCCATTTAAGTACGGTTTTGATGAGCTCTCAGCCAATCAGAATCGAGTATCACACAATGTCGTGCTAGAATGCACGTTCAAGTGGACACACTCGTTACTGACCGTGTGAGCTTACTGGTGAACGCCCATCTTTAGTGAGTTAGTGAGTGGGTGAGTGTAATTTTATGCCGCTTCTAACAATATTTCAGCAATATCACGGTGGGGGGACACCAGCACTGGTCTTCACACATTGTAACCCATGTAGGGAATCGAACCCTGGGTCTTCCTCGTGACGAGGGCTACACGCTGGCTCTTCTGCATATATTATGCCACGCGCACTTTCTGTTAATCGTTATTGTACCTTGCCTGTCCATGTACATTGTAATAACATTTCATTCTGGAAAAAACGCTGACTCTGTTTGCTGTTTGTGTCGCAACTATTGCATGTGAATATATTAAAAAGATGTTATTTTTTAGATATTGTAACACCCCTTCTTGTGAAAGGTTGCTCGGAGTGAGATCTGTTCCAAAATACAGGTAAAATTATTGAACATCTGTTATATCTGGAATTACACTGTCTACGTTAAGAACAGAGAACAGTACCTTTTCGGGTCGAGTCCCATCCGGGATTCGCACTCACACTCGCCATCACATAAAATCAGCGGTAATCCCAAAATTGATATCTGTTGCATTTGACCACTTTCTAAAAGGCATCGCATTTGAGATAGACATACACTTTAATGGAAATCGTGACTGTTGGATTCACTCTATTGGATTGCTGAAATTTCCCATACACCCAGTACCAACTCTTACCTGGCAGGTTGGTGCACTGTGTGGTGCAGACCCTCTCTTCAGTACTCTTCTCCCGGAAGTTGCAATCCTCTATACGCTCAGAAAAGCTGAGTCCTGCTCGACCACAAGGCAATCTTTTCCTGATTCGTGTTCCACAGCCACAGCCTGTGCTGCAGTCTCCCCCATGACAACCAGTTGAGCCACGTGCAGTGTCGGGCACAGCCACCACGCGCAGCCGTCTCGTCTGTAAACATGTCATGAAATAAACAGGTACACAAATTTTACAGATATTCCTACATCGCTTATTATTTATCTGACGTTGTGGTGTGTCCACTAGCTCAGTTCAAGAATAGTTTGAAATAAGACAAAATTCGCCCAGAATTTGTATATCTACTGACAAACATTCTAAAAGTCTTTATGGACAATTATGAACAAGAAATGAACATCTTTATTGCAATGACCTTTTTGAACAACACATGAGAAGAATTCAAAGCCTTGTAATATCACTACCAAAGACACCAGACATGACGTAATGTTATTCAAATCACTGATTAAAAATTCACATTGGCAATAACAGGCCCCGGTAAACAAGAAATAAACTTAATGTGAAATCGAAAACCTGATTATTAACCTATAACTCTCACCTCGTTCACAACAAATTCCATATCTGAGAGGAGGACAGTGACAGTAGCCATCAATGTAACTTCCACCATTGGGGCAGTGTGTCGCACATGGCTCTGTCTCCACAGACGTGTTGGGTCGGCGACATTTACCGATACAGTCTGGAACATGAACTCCACAGCACATCTTCCGTGTTCTGGTTCTCAGCCCAGCACATGTTCTGGTACAGGAGCTCCACACACCCCAAGACTCCCACTCACAGGCCTGAAGCCCGGGTTCACACACACAGTACACCATCAGAGGCAGCACCACGGCCATACACACCTTCACTAGATCCATCTCTGATAGATAAAAGGAGAACATATACATACCACAGGTTCTTGGGAATGGTTAGCCTCGATAATCTCCTGGGTATACGTTCCGATAACTCTCCACTATAGTCCGTTTGGCTCAAAAGCGGACCGGTGAATTGCAATCTAACTCGAAAACTAATAAACATAAAATACTCACGGAAACGCTGATCATAATCATTAAAATATTGACACAGTTCACTATTTGTTACGAGGGAGGAGTGCAGAGAAAGGGACAGCCAGGTGTTCGAGAACGGATGGAGACGGCACAGCACAGGTTAATGAATAAATAACTTTGTCTGTGAACGTGCTTCTCGAACACCTGGCTGTCCCTTTTTCTGCACTCCTCCCTCGTAACAAACAGTGAACTGTGTCAATATTTTAATGATAGTTTGTTAAACAACTTTATTATTTTTAGGACAAAAATTCTGCAAAAACCTCACAGAGTGGGTATGATGTTTTGATTATGATCATCGTTTCATCGTTTCATTGAGTATGTTATGTTTATTAGTTTTCGAGTTAGATTGCAATTCATCGGTCCGCTTTTGAGCCAAACGGACTAAAGACCGTGGATGCATCTACGGCTCTGCCCGATGATTTTATTACCTCCCTTGGTTGGCTTTTTATCCAATCAGCGGTCTACGCTGGGAGGTTGAGCGTACCAATCACAACTCACTTTCGCTTTTTTAATTTATCTAACCGATTAAACTTGGCAACACAATAATATATTGTTGCAGAGGTACTCTGAAAGAGGTAGAAGGAGTTCTTGCATATATTTTTAAAGGTTTCAGACCTGTCAGTTTGTCTGTATGTTTTTCCCCAAAATCTGAGTCCCACTGCGAACAAACTTTCGCGGTTACGACCGCTATCTTTGTTGACACTTGCAAGCTCGGTTGTAACGGCAGTTTATCTGATTGTCTACTGTGAAAATGCGGAGCCAACCAAGAGAGGCAGTTAAATCATCGGGCCGAGCCGTAGATGCATCCAGGGTAGTATCTGGAGATTATCGAGGGTGGGGAATGGTAAAATGTTATAAGCCTCCTTGATTTACACAGTCCACCACCAGTGCCACTGCCACAGCGGTTTACACATTCATCAAATCAACTTTGGAATATTATGTACTCGAAAGCAAAGGGTTGTTGTGACTTGCCATAACCACAGAGTATCAGTGTTCTACCTCGAACGAAAGGCTATTACATGAAAAGACATGTTTCAAGGTATGGATCGGTGTGGTGAGGTAGCCTGGTGGTTAAAGTTCGTCACGCTGAAGACCCGGGTTCGATACCTTACATGGATACAAGTGTGAATCTCATTCCTGGTGTCACCCGCCGTGATATTGGTGGAATATTACTGTAGGCGGCGTAAAACCAAACTCACTCACTTAAGGTATGGTTCAGAACAGTGTGCGAAATAGTTTACAAATTTTGCTAGCCTGTCGGGCTAGATATGCCTGAAAGTTACTAGCCCACAAAATAATTCACTAGCCCGAATTTGAATATAGACACGGATTTCATCATTCAGCTGCTAATATCAGACCATAATCTTGCATGATTTAAAAGTGTATTATAACTTAACAAGTCGGAGAGAGTGATATATTTACAAACTGACCCTATGAAAATTCACTAACCAGTCGGGCCAGTGACCGTGGAGATTTAGTTGTCCGACTGGATTTTTACAGAAGCAAGTTCACACGGTCAGTAGCGAGTGTGTCGATACATGCTAGGCACCTTCACCTCTTTGAGGCCACTACTGCCGGCCATCTGTTTCTTTAGAATAGAAAAGGTTTCCGATGAGAGGGAACGAGGCTTACGACAAGAACTATCCGGTAACGCAAGCTCAGCTGAGCTAATCATTGGTTGACATTTTGAACAACATCCTCAATCTGTTTACATCATCTGGAGCCTTTAATGCCCCACTGCTACCACGCTCACATCAGTGCAGATTGTTTATTGTTACATTATCATGGATTTTATGGATGACAATGTCTTTATACCTTAATCATGTCAATTTCGGTTAAACAAAGTGGTATGAATATGCATGTGAGAGATGTCTGACACTATTTTGCTATGTATTTTAATGAACATTCATTAACATGCATTTATTCGAAAGAAAGGAACCATAATCGATTATAATAATTAAGTTCTATTGCACATGACTTCCAACCAGAAAAGCACTATAGTATTGGTGTGGTGTGCTGTATGGATTTAGTTATGGTAATGATACAGACGGCAGTGCTGTAAATGAGTAACTGCAGAACTGTGTGATAGAGTTGGGAGTAAGCAGAACATAGTTGTGAACAAGGAACTTTGTGGTCCCACCAACAAGTTATTGATCTGGCGACTGTCAGTGCTTGTTCCTCTGATGACATTGTCTTCTCAAAGACTACTCCCAGACAGTGAACTTGATCAGAAGGTTCAACAGTTCCACTGGATAAGGATGTATCTTTAATTGCCAAAGAGTCTGCTGGGGGTGTTAAAAGGATGGTTTGGTCCACTGTCCTTTTGACACAAAAGGCAAGTTAGACACAGGACGATTGTTCTTGAGCACACTTGTGTCTAACGATATCTTCTTTAGAAGTGGAGTTATGAAGGCTGTGCTTGAAGATAGTTTGGATTATTCCAGCCATGATGAGTCCAACAAATATGAGACTGCAGGACTAGTTTCTACACATCCTGTCAAAATCAAAGCAGGAATAAGATCCATGCAACACGGTTTGCTGCGCCCGGCATCAATTATTGATTTCATCTCCATGGACCAAGTAGCTTGGAATAATAGCTGAGGTTACCTTGAAAATTGAATATCAATTTCCATTAAATCATTCTCCGATTCAGTGATAACGTTATTTCTCATATTTTCCACTTCTTTGTATCAAAAAGGATGCAACTGAGTTTGTCATAGTCTTTGTATCAGTCCTAGACCGTTCAATCGACTTGGGACTTCTTAGTTTCTTTGTGATGGCAATCAGTTGTCTTGAATTCTTTTAGCTGTGCATCACTGTCTTTCTGGAGCTTTTTCTGACGAATAATGATATTCAGTTTGATTCTTGATGCTCAATATATCTGTCTCAAAGCTTCAAGTTTAGTCTGGCGACATTTCTTTCTGCTGCTCGCCGTTCATGTTTTGTTTTAATCATTGTTTCCAACTGGACACAACTCGGGATTTAAGTTTTCCTGTCCTTAAAAGACCATGTTTATTCAGTATTTGACAGGGGCTGTTGCTAAGAATTTTAACTTGTCGTCCACGGAATCAAGATTAGCGTAAACCTTTCTTGTGCTGAAGTTTCATCCTCAAAAAATTGTTCAAGAAGACCGGTTTCGGCAATATGATTCTCAAACTGTTTGACATCAATGCAGCCTTCTGCATTATCCAGAGTATCGGAAGGATTGTGCTCCCGGTGGAGAACCCTGGCACTTAGGAGGTACCAAACCAAGGGTTCTAAGAACAAAGGGAAGTCGGACAACAGTGTGCTTGTGTTGCAAGCGAGGTCAAAGGCGAGGTTCGCATATTTGCCATGTTGTCAAATACATATTGCTGTCAAATACTCACTAAAAACTCACTGATATGTATAATTCCATTTGTTTTGTCAAAAAGGACAAGAGCCGGTATGTTGGCTTGGATGTGTCTTGGGCTGTATACGGGCCTATTCCATAGACGTCATTAGAAAGTCATGCATTATGTTGCTTACAATACTGTGTCTGCACCAGTACTGGGCATCCACTAACAAGGTGTTGGACAGTCTCATAAAATTCATCATACAATCTACGTTTCATATACTGAACCACAAAAGAAACGTCGCTTTTCAAAACCAACTGCAAAATTTTGTTCTTGCTAGGTGGTGTTTTTATTATGATTGTAACGTTTTGGTAACATGTTTTTCAATCCGAATTGACAGTTAATACCAACATCAGTGTGTTTTCTGATTAAAAAGCATATCGACCAAACGCACCGAAAAGGCAGACATGGTAAAAGGTTCCGTATGACATTCGTGAAAATGAAATGCACGTGCATGTTGTGACAACCCTACCATAGAAAGCGGTCCCAAATTCGCCTGAAATCAGTTTTTTGTTTTGGCACAATCACCATGCCATGATTTACGAGAGAACAGAAGATGCACGTCTTGGGACGATTGCAAGATGTCCAGACTGCTCGGAGGGTGCCAATCATTTGAATGTTCATGTTAGGACAATCTACCGACTGCAGGAATGGTATCGGGTCACTAACAGCATCCAAGACCGTCCACGCAATGGGCGACCTTCAGTAACAAGACCGACAGATAGTGCGCCACCATCTACAGGATCGCTTCCCCAGGGCGACGGATACAGCACGCCATACTACTGGGACTAACAACAGACCCATCAGTGCCGGTACAGTGCGCCGACGTTTGCGCGGAAGAAACCACTGCTGTCACAGACCCTATCGTAGTCCTGTCCTCGCCCCTCATCACCGCCGAAACACAGACTGCAATGGGCAACTTAGCATCGAAATTGGCGTTATCGACAATGGAGAACTGGTGTTTTCTCATGAAAGCTGATATTGTGTTTCGACAGTCGATGGCGGAGTGAGAGAATGGTGAAGGCGTGGGAAATGTTTTCCAATTAGTGTATTCTTGACAGAGACTAGTGGGGTGGTCCAAGCATCATAGTGTGGGGTGCAGTCAGTCTGAACCAGTTAGTTGACACTGTGGTGTTCCAGAATCTTGGTCCAGGATGAGGAAATGACGTGACAGCTGCTCGCTATATTGACACATTTTGGACGTTACAGAAATCACATCTTCCAGCAAGACAACGGTCGTGCCCACACGTCCAGAGCAACATTGGACTTCCTAAAACAACATGGCATCCAAACCCTACCATAGCCCGCACTCAGTCCGGATTGAATTCCAACAGAACACCTTTGGGACGAGATTCAAAGAAGATTGAATGGCCTCAAACCAAGGCCGACAACTGCGGCTGGACTCGATCAGGCATTTCACAGAGTATGGACCCAAGTGCCTATGGCCTTCATCAACAGGCTAATTCATTCCATGTACAGACGATGCAACGCTTTCATCGATGCGCATGGAGGCCACACACGATACTGACTTTAGGATATCTGAAATGGTACCATTTTTAGTGATTTTGTTTGTGTGACCTCTAAATGTTATTCCCGAAAATGTGTTAACCGTAATTGTCAAGTTAGACCTCAGTCCTCCGATTTGATTGTTAACTGGAGTGAACTAAAGTGTGTGCTCTAAAGAAACCGCTATCGGTGCGACATTTCTTTTGTGGTCCAGTATAGTTACATTTTGACGTAAAATAACACAATGACGGTTACGAGTGGGGAGTGACTGATTGTGAGCAGCAAACAGAAAGCCTTCTGTTTTCCTTTTCCGGCCAGCCGACTTCATCCAAACAAAGGACTCAACAGGGCTGCTCTTCTCCTCATCACACACAAGTAAACTAGGTGCAGCGGTCGTCCTGATCTGATATTGCACTTAACTTGATTGACACTCAGTTTCTGTAACATCCAGCACTGCAGAGTTTTGGCGTCTGTCCAACATCCTTGGCCCTTTTTAGATAGCTGTATTTTCATGTGATGACTAGTTTTCATCATGAGATTTGACATGCTTTACAAGATCATCAGGTTAGTAAATGTGTGCAAAAGTGCACAATCAAATTCTGTCATGAAGACCCTCCATGTTAATCAAACCATGTCCTCCCATTTGAATTGATAACGTTTCAGGGAAGAGGGAGGGTGGTGGACTCGATTGTCTCACATAATTCTTTCAGAACAGAATTGTAGAAAAGTCCACATCCTCCGCTTCCCTACGGAGTTTTAGTATTATTTAGTTAATTAAACTATTTTCGTACAGATTAATATTTAGTAATGTTATTGATTCGTATTGTTCAAAACAGAATGGTGTCAGTGACAAGTACAGTTGAACCGCAAGCATGAGCGGATACGGGTACATGCATCTTACAGTAAGATACGAGGTACCGATGAGAGCTGGCCTGTTCGATGTGAGAATGTAAATGTTGGTGAGTAAATACCTCAGCGAGAGTACCACAGGGGAAGCAACAATAGGGGCGGATCCAGAGGGGATGCGCACTCGTGCTCCTCTGAAAGGATGAACAGCAGAACTACTTTAAACAAGAACGATAACTCCAATGGTACATAATATGACCGAGGCATCCTCACATTGTATTGCTGATTTTGTTTTACTTATATATTTTAAATTAAACCTCTTTGATACAACTAAAAGAAAGAGAAAAACATATTTATTAAAGACAATCCTACGTAATTATTACCAGCTGTTCACCTTATATTTCCAAATATATATTTCTATATATTTGTTTTATTGAATATGCAGATAAAATAATCTTTTTTCAGCTTCATGAAATCCCAAAGCTGATAATCGAAAATGAAATTAAAATACTTTTAAAACTGAACATTTGTGTAACCTTGCTGGCATATCCCTGGTGGAATTTTAAAATGAATTTGCTGGGGAAAAAAGAATGACCCCAAAAAGTCAGACTAAAATATCCCCAGAAATGTAAGCCCAACGTAAAAGATTAAAGCTGATTAGTTACTTGTAGAGATATTATTATTGTTTTGAAACTCGTAGCGATTTATAATTACATTTTCTGAAAATGTTGGAAAGCGAACGTACAATCTCAAAATTAAGCTCGCAAGATCGTCAGAAATACACTCAATTGGAACCATGAGGGCCGTTATGTAAACAAACGCACATGCGTGCATTTGAATCTCTCATCATCCATGTCATTATCCTAACTAAAAACTACACGAGACCACACAGTTCTGTTAGCTACGTTAATTGTATATGTATTCTTTCAAGATGACGCTATATATATATATATACTATTCAAAAAAAGAAACTTGCACTGCTGTTTTGGAGTTTACTTACTGAGTGCATATAACTGATTCAAACATGACATCATTTGATCAGTTACAGTAAAATCATCACTTTACAAATTTCCAAAACATGATTATCCAGAAAACGTTTGGAAAAAACCACAGAGAGCTATTAAAGCCACTTGATCAGAGTAAAATGTCAGTATCTGTTGTGACCACCATGAGCATCGATAACAGCTTGGCAGCGGTGACCCATAGAAGAAAGGAGATGCCGAATGTTGTCTTCAGGAATGTTTTGATACTCTTGCTGAAGTGCTGTGTGCAGTTCTTGAAGTGCCTGAGGTGGCGGATTACGCTGGCGTAAGCGTCAATCAAGAGTATCCCATAGATGTTCAAAAGGGAACAAATCCGGTGTTCGAGAAGGCCGAGGTAACAACTAACATTGCTGGAGGAAGACCTGTCAAACACGTGCAACGTGAGGTCGAGCATTTAACTTTTTTGTTAAACGTTTCTTTTTACAAACGTTTTTGTCGTCGGCAACCATTCCCCCACAGGCTGGGATTCAACATGGATTGGTGTGTGTCAAATATTTTCCTAAAATTCAAATTTGTCCAATGTCAAGTTTATTTTTTTGAAGAGTATAGTTTCATGATATATTAATACATAATGCCATAACCGATTTAAGTACCGGGGATTATTTTTATCAAAGCACGCAATCATTACGCGCGTTCTGATTGGTTTGTCGTATTTTCGCACATAACAAGCATCGAAAGGGGGACAAGTCTTCTTGGGGGTTGCGAACAGGGCGAGTGGTGACATTGTTCGTTTCCTTTCAGTATTTAGTATCATGTGTGCGATTACAAACATAGGGGCGTGTCTCGCTTAGAAACACCGTTAGGAAGACATATAGGTGTCTTTCATACGGTAATAGGGTGGGGTCTTTATACCTATATGCCTTCCTAACGGTGTTTCTAAGCGAGACACGCCCCTGTGGTTGTAAACGCACACGTGTACTAAATACTGTAAGCAAACGAACAATACCCTCCTACCACACAATTCATTCTTCCACGTCTATCCTCTACACTTTACATTAAACCCCTTTAGTTTCAACGCCAAGGCTTATCCATTGCTTTCATCCAGCGTCCCTCACTCAACAAGCTGCCGCCATACAGCTGGAATAGTGTTAAACAATCAAAACACTTCAAAAGCGGTACCCATTACGATGATGATGATTTATAGATTTTACGTGCACTCCCCGACATTCATGTGTCCCATCAGGCTATTCAGTGTTTAATAAAAAAGGTGTGATTATGACCGTTGTTTTATTTAGGTATGAATTTTGAATTCTGGTATTTGCCAGAAGTGGTAGGAAGAACGGGGGGAGGTGGTAATGCTGGTAATTGTATTTATTTATCTGTTATTTCTTTTTTATGTGTGTTGTGCGTGGTTTGTGTTTATATTTGTACAAGTGGGTTAAGTAGGGTTATATGCGGTTCGAAATATACCTAAGGCTATGGAGGTTTGGGTATTATTTAGTGGAGTGTCAGTAGTGGTGTGTGTTAGCGTCCAGTAAACTCCATTCTGTGTTTCTTGTGTGTGCAGTATTGTTGGAACACGTTCAGGGATTTCTGTTCCTACGCTTAATATTTTGTCGTCAACCATCCTTTCAGTTTAAACACCAAGGCCTATCCATCACTTCTATCAAGCTGTCCCCTTTATTGTCCTTCCATCATTGAACCCTCCCATGTCTATGCTCGTTTAGTCTTACTCGGGGGTGTGATGGGCGAGCTGGCCGAACCGCTAGGCTAGTGATCCACCGAGCATGAGGTGCCGGGATCGAGCCCACCTGTGACCGGGTGTAAAATCCTTGGAGTCAACTTTGTGTGCAGACTCTCTCAATGTTGTCATAACCTCTAGTGTACAGTACACAACCCTGTGCACTTAAAAGAACCCACGAATCCGTTGGTATATGACCAGATGGTGGCCACATGAATACGCGCAAACACCTAGTTGCGGGTACAGCAACGTGCAGTGAACTTGGACAAGTATTGTGACTATGTGTCCCAGTCCACCCAGCTGTGAATGGGTACCTCATAAGGATGGGAAAGCCGCAATAACTCTGTGCGCCTTGTGGTAGCAAGAGTTGTATGCTCCCCAGGGAGTTGAGATTGATAATAAGATGTGCCGTTGAGATTGACGTCCAATGATCGATGGAAAAAAATACCAGCGTCTTGAGCATGCACTAGTGCGTGGATATGTGCGCTATATAAATATCCAATAATAATAATAATAATAATACTTGTCCCCTCCACTATGCCCTCTATTTATCCTGTAACAAGATGGGCAAGACAATAGGACAGTGGGAGATTACAGAACGTGGGTCATCGTATTACGTAAAACATTCTCACCTGGTCAGTGTTCTCCGACGTCCGCGCACTCTTGGATCCCAGCTACAATTTAGGCTTTAAAAATTCTACAACTTGTCTTCTCAGAGATCTTCGGCGAACAAACAAATTCTCTGAAAGCGAACAAAAGTTACTCGAAAGCCCCTGTCAAACAGTATTGAGATTCACTATATGCTACATTAGCAGGAAAAGTTATTCAAGTGTTTCCCCTCGGCGGTGCTGACAAACCGGACGGCGATAATGACGATGAGATGTCAATGGATACATAAATAGCACAACCCAGGAAGCAATTCTGAATCTATCTTATACGAGGTAGATGCATTGTGCTGCAGATTTTAACGAAGATGCATTTAGTGTTTGTTTTCTGAAAAAAGTCTTCCAACTGTCGAACTTTATTAGCGTTAGTGAGTAGAGTTGCTGAGTCAAAGATATTCTTAGACGGGTTCCCCATGGGACAAGTCCCATCTCCAACTTGGTTGGATTGAACACCGGAGGGAGGCTGGCGGGACTGCGGAAATGAACGGGAGTCCTTTTCTGGCGTTTGCAACCCAGTATTAAGTTCTATTAACCCCAGCTTATAATTATTGGAAATTACCGTTCAGTTCAATTCATACAGTCGATATATTTGTCCAAAAATTTCAGAACTTTCCTGAATGGAAGTTGTCAGTTTGAAGCGAGTTGTGTAAAGTTCGAGAAAGCAGCTTTTGGATTAGCTGATATAGACATCTAGTCTAGTCTTGCTAAAGGTGGTTCGGACATCTTTAGTTTCAACGCCAAGGCTTATCCATTGCTTTTACCCAACGTCCCTCCTTTCGCAAGCTGCCGCCATACAGCTGGAATATTGTTAAACGAACAAACACACCCCATTAACGATGATGACGTTTGATTCCAATGGTACTTAATATCAGCCAGCACTCGTATATTGTATGGATGTTCCTGTTTTCGTTTTTATTTAATTATTTTAACGAATTAAACCTCTAAAACACCTACAACTAAAGGGGGAAGTATTTGTTAAACACACATTCTAATGTAATCATTACCATCTGTTCACATTATATTTCCAAATGTGTATTTCTGAATAGGGTTAAAGAATCACAGATGGGATTTGTTTTAATGAATATGCCAATAAAATAATCTTTTTCAGTTGCATTAAGTCCCAAAGCAGAAACTTCTGCCATGGCCCTGGTGGTATTTTAAAATAAATGAATACGATAAAAAAATATGTATGACCTGAAGAAATGTCAGACTATAATATCCTCAGAGATGTGAAATATAAGGCCAATGTTAAAGATTAAAGCTGATTAGTTATATATATATAAAATATCATTGTTTTGAAGCGATTTATAATTATAGTTCAAAAAAATGTTGGAAAGCGCACGTACAATCTCGAAGACAAGATCGTCAAAAATAGTTGAAGTTATTCAAGTGTTTCCCCTCGGCGGTGCTGACAAACCGGACGGCGATAATGACGATGAGATGTCATTGGATACATAAATAGCACAAACTAGGAAGCAATTCTGAATCTATCTTATACAAAGTAGAAACATTGTGTTGCAGATTTTAACGAAGATTCATTTAGGTTGTTTTTTTATAATTATTGGAAATTACCGTTCAGTTAAATTCATACAGTCGATATACTTTGTCCAAAAATTTCAAAACTTTTCCTGAATGGAAGTTGTCAGTTTGAAGCGAGTTGTTGTAGTCACGATATGGCTGAAATATTGCCGATGTGACTTAAAATCTTAACTCACTCACTCACTCACTTGAAGCGAGTTGTGTAAAGTTCGAGAAAGCAGCTTTTGGATTAGTTGATATAGACATCTAGTCTAGTCTTGCTAAAGGTGGTTCGGACATCTTTAGTTTCAACGCCAAGGCTTATCCATTGCTTTTACCCAACGTCCCTCCTTTCGCAAGCTGCCGCCATACAACTGGAATATTGTTAAACGAACAAACACACCCCATTAACGATGATGACGTTTGATTCCAATGGTACTTAATATCAGCCAGCACTCGTATATTGTATGGATGTTCCTGTTTTCGTTTTTATTTAATTATTTTAACGAATTAAACCTCTAAAACGCCTACAACTAAAGGGGGAAGTATTTGTTAAACACACATTCTAATGTAATCATTACCAGCTGTTCACATTATATTTCCAAATGTGTATTTCTGAATAGGGTTGAAGAATCACAGATGGGATTTGTTTTAATGAATATGCCAATAAAATAATCTTTTTCAGTTGCATTAAGTCCCAAAGCAGAAATTTCTGCCATGGTCCTGGCGGTATTTGATAATGACTGACTGAGTTTAGTTTTACGCCAGCAATATTCCAGCAATATCACGGCGGGGACACCAGAAATGGGCTTCACATTGCCCATGTGGGGAATCGAACCCGGGTATTCGGCGTGACGAGCCAACGCTTTAACCACTAGGCTACCCCACCGCCCGTATTTGATAATGAATACGTTTAAAAAAATATGAATGACCTGAAGAAATGTCAGACTATCATATCCTCAGAGATGTGAAATATAAGGCCAATGTTAAAGATTAAAGCTGATTAGTTATATATAAATAAAATATCATTGTTTTGAAGCGATTTATAATTATATTTCCAAAAAAATGTTGGAAAGCGCACGTACAATCTCGAAGACAAGATCGTCAAAAATACACTAACGTTTCACGTGGGCCCTCTCTCGAATATAATCACAAGACGCTATAAAAAGAGTCAAAGTCAATGTTTTACAATGGGTATCACTGCTGAACAGTTCAGAAGTTAGAACGGGTGTTTCAATCCTGTACTGATCCACATACTGACCAGAACCGCAAATCGGTGACCTCTCACATGCCCCGAATCTTGAAATGTGGAAACACGGAGGCCATATTTCACTACCTTATTTGCATGTACTTTTAATTGTATTTTTAACTCTGGAGATTTTCCCTCTTCTTGGTCACAGAGTAATATCTTCCCACTTCACAAGAAGGGGAACAGAAATGAGGTTGATAACTCCAGAGGCATTAAATTTAAGTTAAATGTAGTGTGTGAGTGAATGACTCGTTTACTTCCTGGTTCGAGGTGAGCCGAGGTTTGAAACAGGGATGTTTGTTATTCCCTTTGTTGTTCAACTTTTATTTTATTAACCTCTTTGATACAACTAAAAGAAGGAGAAAAACATATTTGTTAAAGACATATTCTAATTACGTAAATTTTCTAAATAGGCTTTAATGATCACGAATGGGAATTTTTTTTATTGAATATACAAATAAAATAATATTTTTCAGCTACATTAAATCCCAAAGCAGATACTCAAAAATGACTTTAAAATATTTCTCAAGCTGAACATTCGTGTAACCTTGCTGTCACACACCTGGAAAAAATATGAATGACTAGTAAAAATAGTCAGACTAAAATATCCCCAGAGCTGTGAAATATAAGCCCAATGTTAAAGATTAAGGTTGATTAGTCACATACAAATGCGATATTATTGTTTTGAAACTCGTAGCGAGTATAATTACACTCAGTTGGACCCATGAGAGCCGTTATGTCAACACACCCAAACGCGCGTGCGTTTATTTGAATCTCTCACCGTCAATCGCGTGATTCTTATTAAAAACTTCATAATAGCCAGCAAAACCCTGTTAGCTACTTTCTTTGTACTTTCAATATGACGATATATATTTTTCATAATTTTTTTTACAAAAATGACACAATGCCATAAACGATTTAAGTACTCGGGATTATTTATAGCAAAGCACCGCACTCATTTACGCGCGTTCTGATTGGTTTGTCGTATTTTCGCACATAACAAGCATCGAGACGGGGCCAGTCTTCTTGGCGTTTACGGAAAGAGGCGAGTAAGACGAATGGGGACGAGTCTTCTTGGCGTTTACGGTAGGGGCGAGGTGACGAATGGGAATGACATTCGTCACCACTCGCCCCTTTCCGTAACCTCCAAGAAGACTCGCCCCTGTCGATGTATTTACGCACATAACAAGCATCGAGACGGGGACGAGTCGTCTTGGCGTTTACGGAAAGGGCGAGTGGTGACGAATGGGAATGACATTCGTCACCACTCGCCCCTTTTCCTCAGAAGACTCCTCCAATGAAGTGTTTCTCTCTCTCTCTCTCTCTCTCTCTCTCTCTCTCTCTCTCTCTCTCTCTCTCTCTCTCTCTCTCTCTCTCTCTCTCTCTCTCTCTCTCTCTCTCTCTCTTGTTAAAGACATATTCTGACGTAATTATTACATGTTCACCTTATATTTCCTATTATATTTCTGAAAAGGGTTTAATAATCACAAATGGGATTTCTTTTATTGAATAAGATTTATAAAAAAACACCGCGACATTAAATCCCAAAGCAGAAACTCAAAAATAACTGAACATACGTGTAACCTTGCTGTCATACCCCAAGTGGAATTTTAAATGAATTCGCTGGAAAATATATGAATGTCTACCCAAAAAGTCAGACTAAAATATTCCCAGAAAAGTGAAATATATGCCCAATGTTAAAGATTAAAGTTGATTTGTTACATGTATACAGATATAATATTATTGTTTTGAAGCTCGTAGCGATATATAATTTTAGTTCCGCAAACTGTTGAAAGCGCACGTACAATCACCACAACAAGCCCGCAAGATCATCAGAAATACACTCAGTTGGACCAGTGACAACCGTTATGTCAACAAACGAATGTGCGTGTATTTGAATCTCTCACCGTCAATCGCATGATTCTTATCAAACACTTCACATTAGACAGCACAATTCTGTTAGATACGTTCTTTCAATATGACGATATATATTTTTCATGATTTTTTAAACAATAACATAATGCCATAAACGAATTAAGTAGTCGGGATTATTTTTTATCAAAGCACTGCAACCATTACGCGTGTTCTGAATGGTTTGTCATATTTTCGCACATAACAAGAATCGATATTATAACAACGCTAGAGTCGATAAAACTTTCACAAGGCGATAAGACCCGCGGCAAGTCTAGATGGGGCATTTTGGTTGTCAAGGGAGGACAACTCTCGCTTTTGCGTGACGTCAATCAGTCAAAATGGTGAATACAAGTTCCTGTTAGGTCTAGAGCGACGGAAGAAACAGACGACACACCGACCGTGGACTGACGATTGAATAGATATTGTTGGTAATATGTCTGATATTTACTCTTCACGTAGTGTTTAGAGGATGAAATTATCCAGACCGGAGTCGTAACTTTAGATGTTTGGCTCGACCCCCCATTTTGACGATTGTCTTCTATTTTGACCAGCTTTATCATCGATTACTGATCATGTGATTACAATCACAAACTTGACAAAATAATTATCACGGTGACCTAGCAGAAATATACTAAATTATTCAAGCACCATGAGCTATTTTCACCTGTGAACACCTTGATACAAATATTGATGAGATACTTACAGCAAGGTGGTACTGACAGGATAGACATTTGGCACTGAACAGGTTGTCTGTAAGTTGTATTCCAGGGAGGGTTCTTTGGTCAATAGTAGGGTATTTAGACGCAGACCTAGTTAGGCAGGTAAAGTCACTTTACATTCATCATCACCGATATTTAGTCACTGTCGATATATGTTTATAATTGTATGCATATTATTATTTTGTACCCCCTCAACCATGATCAGCGTTATGTCTTGACTGTGTAGGGCCATTTCACAGATCTCGGCTAGTGATAACCACAAACAGGTGTGCAATAGCTCGGTCAGTCCACTACAATACCCAAACTATTTTGCCAATACCCAGCGAATAATATGAAATTGATATCAATTGCACTTTCCAATAACTGTCCCTGGTTACATGCGTGTGTTTATATTCATAAATGATCATTTGTTAAAGGTAAATGTCTTCCTGGAAAATTTGTAGTTTCAAAGTTAAGATCTGAGGTAAGGTGAAATTGGGTTTTAACGTCGTGCGCTTGAGAATATTTCGCTCATATGACGACGTGCATGCATGTGTATGTGTAGGTGCGGCTGCTTGTACTAGCCCAGACTGAAGCTGGTTTTATAGTGCTTAGGCCACTGAGAAACCACGCCGCAGTGATGCATGAATACCCCACTCACACACATTATACTGACTCCAAGCCGACCAGTCCTTGTTGTACCCATTGATGCCGAGCGCCAGGCAGGGACCAACAAGTACCATATTTTAACTTCTTTTGGTATGACGCGGTCGGGATCGAACCCGCGACCTTCCACTCTCCGGGCGGACGACGCTCTAACCACTACACCACAGAGGCGGTCGTTAAGATCTGAATGGCAGGTGGTAAGAAATAAATATTTTCAAACTACTCTGATTGTTTATACTTGGAAATATTTCTGGAATAAAATGTCGCAATTTAGTTGTCACTGTGTGCTGCAAAACATGTGAAGTATACTGAGGGATGTCATAATTCACATTTTGTATCATATCCTGTTAGGGTGGTGGGTTAGTCCAGTGGTTAAAGCGTTCGCTCGTCATGCCGACGACCCGGGTTCGATTCTCACATAGGTTGGGGGAAACATAAAACCACTTATCTCATTAATTTGTCTTCGGTTATCATGTAGGACGTGTTCTAGTCACGATATTGCCGAAATACTGCTGATGTGACTATGAATTTTAACTCACTCACTCACTCTGTGACAATATGTCTTCTGTGACAATAAATATGCTGCACTTTTAAAATATATTTATTATATGTAATAATGATTTTGACCATTTTACTTTTACTTTTCTGTATTAGAAGGCATCACAAAGCTACTGAGTTACAATCTCTGTCACTATTTTGCTGAAACAATGCTTATTTTTAATCATTAGGATCGGACCTGATACTCAACTTATCAGCACATTTATCAGCAGTGAATAAAATAGTCCAAAAAAGTGATCAGTCCTGAACAAACATAGCCAGTCCAAAAAAACTAAAACAATGATAAATAATAGATAAGACAAAGTTCAAGCCAAGTTAAGTTTATTTTTTCAAATATTTCCCCCGACCAAAGGACAGCCTTACTTATTTAATAGACCACCCATTACAAAAATAGACCGTCAAGGACGATGGGACAGGCTATGTTTGATACACCGTTATCAGTCACTGAGTCAGATCCAGCAAGGACTTCATATTGTCATGTCAACCAATCAGCATAGTCTGTTATTTGTCAGTATGAAGAAGTGAAGAATTCAAGGAAGCTTATCTGATTTTCTGTCTTAAAAATAATATAAACTGACAGTTCCTGATAGAGAATAATAGTGACCGTGCTCATTCCATTTAAATTTCATCTTCCTGTCAAAAACAAAGAATTTTGTTTTATTTCTACTACACTAAAACCAGAGACCATATACCCTCTGTTATGTGGTCTCCGCTAAAACGTAATAAGAACAGCCATGACATTGTAGTCAAGGATGTCAGTCAGATCATGAAGGTTCATACTTTAAGAAGCTGCTATATCATTGGCTCAGAGACCCTTGTATTCTGTATTTTGATTGGTCAAAGTTGACTGAGGGTTTTCCTAGAGTTACTCCTTCGAGGGTTCACCATATCTCGAATCCCGTGGTTATCTGCTCATTTGTAGACATTTGTTTTTTCTTATACAGGACTGGTGTGTTAAGCTGTGGGCATTGATGCTCTGTGGGTGACGCGGGCGTGGTCGGATGGGGGCGGGAGCCGTGGGAGGCCAGCAACATCAAGGGACAATTGTAACCAATCAGGAAGTCTTGTCAAAAACCATGGCATGTGAATCATGTGCTACGGAGTTCACAATCTTCAAACGGAAGGTATGTACAAACAGTGTTCACGGTTCAACTCTGTGGTTGCTTAACTTACATAACATACCTGTGAAGATCTGGGTTAGAACTGGTCTTCAGCAACCCATGTTTGACCCCCCATGAAGATCCGTGTTACAACTGGTCTTTAGCAAGCCATGCTTGTCTGCTGTGAAGATCCGGGTTAGAATTTGTTTTCAGCAACCCATGCTTTGTCATAAGAGACGACCAACAGGGTCGGGTGGTCAGGCTCGTTGACTTGGTTTGACACATGCCATCATATTTCCAATTGCATAGATCGATTCTCATACTGTTCATCACTGGATTGTCTTGTCCAGACATGATTATTTACAGAAAGGTGCCATATAGCTGGAATATTACTGGGTGCTGGGATTAAACACAAACAATCAAAAACAAATAACATAAATTACCCAAATGTTAAAATTAAAGCTGGAGTTTTTTATTTCTTGCTTAATGCAACAGTCAGCGTTATTCCAGCTATATTCCAGTCTGTAAATAAACGAGTCTGGACCAGACAATCCAGTGATTGACATCATGAGCATTACTCTGCACTTGAAGGCCCAAAGGGCCCCTTAATATTGAACACTCCCCAGAACTGTTAAATGTTATTTCTACTTTAGTTTCTAACACCTCATTCCTACCTGGTGCTGCTACTCTCAGTCAGAAAGATGGAAACATAAACTCACTTATTTTTTTATTCAATGTAGAGAATATAAATAAGAAATGATATTTTGAAAGTTTAGCATTGTTGACATGTTCCCCATTATCAAGATTTAGATTGATGAACTGACAAGATTCTTACATGTACTTTCTATGTCCCTTCCAAAAGCCCCAGTAACCATATCTTAACTATTTCTTGAGCTGTAAGAAGTAATTTGTTTATCAAAATAATGAAATACATGTACAAACAAACATGACACTAACCGCATTGGTGGATCCAAGGGGTGGGTTCAGGGGGTTCGAACCCCACCCCCACCGTTTTGAAAATGACTAAAGACCCCTTTGACAATTCCTGGATCCGCCTATGAATCGACATCTAAGATAAATATCAACATGCAAATAAATGTTATGTAAATAATAATGTAAACTACAGTTATATCAATCTCAAAGGGATCTCTAGTTGTATTTGTTATATCTGTAGTTCATTATAGGTGTGTTTGTAATAAGGATAGTTTATCTGATTGTTTGATCAACATTCTAGAAGTTGGTTAGTTAAAATGAAGCATACAACTTTATGGATGACAGCTTCTTGTTTATTGCATAGAGCGACGTTTCCATGTAGATTCTTTCACTGTTATTTTAGCTTGATAACTAAGAATCTACATCGAAACATCGCTCTATGCAATATACAATAAGTTGTCCTCCATAATGTTGTATGTTTCAGTAGTCTATATGAAATTGGAAATAAATGAAATGTCCAACATGATCAGTAGATTATGGATCTCTACTTTGACTGACCTGACTAATCGCTGTATGTGAGTTTTACATGAGTTCAACAACAACCCAAAGAGCTTTTTTCTCCCTCCATAAAATATTCTTACGGTTAATAATTTACTGTGACAAAAGGTTTAAGCGTCCCCTTTGAACCAGCAAAATAGAACACAGACAATTCTAAAATATTCAATAATATATTGAACAAACAATGAATGACAATACAGATTTCTAGTACAATGCAATTGAGTCACAAATATAAACTATTGGGTCACAAATATAAAATATTAACTCACTAGAGTCTTGACATTTACAGTCAGAACAGATATACTGATTGAAGGTTGTTTACAATGGCAGCAGTTGAATAGACAAGCACGTTGAACAACTTGATGATGTCAGACAGATGTGTATAAATCCAGTCATGTGAAAGTCCCGTGCAGCACAACTCAACTACCAGCCTTTATATAGCTCTTACACAGTTCTCGAGCATTCTGGCAAAGCTAGCCTCCATCATTATTCTCGCAGAACGATGCGGGATTTTCTCGAGCACATGACATGATGAAAGCCAGAAGTCAAAACAAATACTTGCCAAGGGAGGCAACTCTGAAGCGCTATCAAAAAGGTGTTCCGCTACAAATACTATTGCCATTGAACATATATGATGCGAGATGTGAGCCAAAACCCACACTCAAAACTTTAAACATTGTGACCCATAATAACTATCACTTAATCAATGTGATATTACAAATGACAAAAAACACACTCTCATAACAATATGTAATTTAGGTAATGGTGTAAATAGGTACACCAAATATGAAATAATCCATCAGACAGTCATTGCCTTTTCTAATGTTTTGTTTTTCTTTTCTTTTTTTTTCAGAAAATGTGCAGAGATTGTAAACGTCAATTTTGCTCAACGTGTCTGCCAAAAGAAGCAAATAAACGTGATAGACAATGTCAAAAGTGCCGAATTATTGTCTCTGGGAACTTTAGCCGCCAAATCTTGCAAGAGTGGAAGGTCAAGGACATGAGATGCTTCCTTGACAGCCACAATATTCCTACCAATATGTGCCGTGAAAAACATGACCTCATTGACCTTGTGATACTCCACTACAGCCGAGGATCTGTCTCAAACTCAGAGGCGGAGCATGAGAGACTGGTACAGCAGCTGGTGGTAAGTCCTGCTTGTATTGGGCAGAGAGGGAGGGATGTATATCTGTCAATCAACTCAAGGAGGCGGAGCATGAGAGACTTGTACAGCAGCTGGTGGTAAGTCCTGCTTGTATTGGGTAGAGAGGGAGGGATGTATATCTGTCAATCAACTCAAGGAGGCGGAGCATGAGAGACTTGTACAGCAGCTGGTGGTAAGTCCTGCTTGTATTGGGTAGAGAGGGAGGGATGTATATCTGTCAATCAACTCAAGGAGGCGGAGCATGAGAGACTGGTACAGCAGCTGGTGGTAAGTCCTGCTTGTATTGGGTAGAGAGGGAGGGATTTATGTCTGTCAATCAACTCAAGGAGGCGGAGCATGAGAGACTTGTACAGCAGCTGGTGGTAAGTCCTGCTTGTATTGGGTAGAGAGGGAGGGATGTATATCTGTCCATCAACTCAAGGAGGCGGAGCATGAGAGACTTGTACAGCAGCTGGTGGTAAGTCCTGCTTGTATTGGGTAGAGAGGGAGGGATGTATATCTGTCAATCAACTCAAGGAGGCGGAGCATGAGAGACTGGTACAGCAGCTGGTTGTAAGTCCTGCTTGTATTGGGTAGAGAGGGAGGGATGTATATCTGTCCATCAACTCAAGAAGGCGGAGCATGAGAGACTGGTACAGCAGCTGGTGGTAAGTCCTGCTTGTATTGGGTAGAGAGGGAGGGATGTATATCTGTCCATCAACTCAAGGAGGCGGAGCATGAGAGACTGGTACAACAGCTGGTGGTAAGTCCTGCTTGTATTGGGTAGAGAGGGAGGGATGTATATCTGTCAATCAACTCAAGGAGGCGGAGCATGAGAGACTTGTACAGCAGCTGGTGGTAAGTCCTGCTTGCATTTGGTAGAGAGGGAGGGATTTATGTCTGTCTATCAACTAGCAGGTGGAGCATGAGAGACAGGTACAGCAGCTGGTGGTAAGTCCTGCTTGTACTGAGTAGAGAGGGAGGGATGTATATATGTCAATCAACTCAAGGAGGCGGAGCATGAGTGATTGGTACAGCAGCTGGTGGTAAGTCCTGCTTGTATTGAGTAGAGAGGGAGGGGCGTATATCTGTCCATCAACTCAAGGAGGCGGAGCATGAGAGACTTGTACATCAGCTGGTGGTAAGTCGTGCTTGTATTGAGTAGAGAGGGAGGGGCGTATATCTGTCAACTCAAGGAGGAAGGGCATGAGATAGCTGTATTACTGTTTGTCTTGTTTTAAAGATGAATTTGTCTGCATCCTTATTTGTTCACAGGAGCGGATGAGAGAAGATACTGTGCCAGATGTGCCACCAACAGACACACAGACAGATGGAGACACTCCCACAGAGGAGCCCATGCAGGTACTGGGTATACTCCCATCAGCAATGGTGATTTGAACCTTAAAGACCTTAATTTAGCAAAATTTGTCAAGTTATAGAAAATAGAATATACCTTGCAATGGCAATGTGTGTTAATTAATTTGCCATCATGAGACAAAACCTTCCCAGTGCCATGATGTAGCGAATAGTTACCTCCCTTTGTCGGCCCCACAATCGATCAACCCTGTGTTTCTTCAACCACTTATACAGGGCTACAGATAAGGGGCATCAGGCGTAATGTTCGCCTCAAAATCAATGAGGTATGACACAAAGTAAGATTTCAAACGCATCATGTACGCACATAAATACCTTTGTACGTCTAACAGTTAATTTCTGGTCGTATCGTGCAAATGGAAATCTATTTCGGATCAATACTTGGTGTCAAGAGTTTCTTTTGCCAAACGCGATTTGACACATGAGGAAACCCCAGCAGTGAGAATCCCTTGCGTTGCCAGACCGCCTCCGTGGTATAGTGGTTAGAGCGTCCGCCCGGAGAGCGGAAGGTCGCGGGTTCGATCCCCGACCGCGTCATACCAAAAGACGTTAAAATATGGTACTTGTTGGTCCCTGCCTGGCTCTCGGCATTATTGGGTACGACAAGGACTGGTCGCCTCGGAGTCAGTATAATGTGTCTGAGTGGGGTATTCATGCTTCACTGCGGCATGGTATCTCAGTGGGCTAGCACTATAAAACCAGCTTCAGTCTGGGCTAGTACAAGCAGCCGCACATACACATACACACGCATTCATGTCGTCATATGAGCGAAATATTCTCAAGTACGACGTTAAACCCAATTTCACCTCACCTCACCTCACCCTTGCGTTGCCATGCAACAATATGGCGTCACTAATTTTCGATTGGCTAAACCCTACACTGTCGGACCAGATATTTCGCTCATCAAACAGTCGCTCTGTTATTTCTCACTCATCTTCAAATTTATTTACACTAATTTAAAATATCACTTTGTTACTGAGAACTGTGCATACATTGTGTCGGTATTATCATATGCAAGGCAGTAACATACACCATTAGAATATTTACAATTCATTTGAAAAGTAATAGACAAAAACAACAGAAATCTATCGATTATGCGAAAATAAAGTAGGACGAAACGTCATAGAATCGGGGCTAGCATCCAACATGTCAACAAATAACGAGGAAACAGTGGGTCTAAATCGGGATCAGAAACATTTTCATCGACGAAATTAGTGGAGGAATTAATCAATGAACTATTACGTTTGGTTATGCGACCAGTGGCCACAAGGGCGGGTACAAGTTACAAACCGTGACTGAAAAGAGCTGGTAGAAGTTGCACCCATTGTTGGAAATAGTGATCGATGAATCGTCCAGACAAACCACTTCACCAACTCTCTCACACGAAAACATGTCAGTACTCCTTCAAAATTCTCAGTACACCTCCATTTGCAATATGAGGTGTAAGTACACACACACACACAAAAGTTGTCTGGATGTTTTATATGCATTTCTAAAGGGCCCTAAAATTGTTGATTTGGCCTTGAAAAGACCCTAAAGTTTGATGACTGGTAATCTGTAGTAGCCCTTAATGAGATGGTGGTGTAGTCAGCTTGGATATGGCCTATGGTAACACATATCATACTTCAGTATTTCCCTGTAGAGACTCTGGGTTAGAAAACGTCCCAGCGACCTATGATCACCATAACAAGCAATGAAATGGATCTGCTGGTCGTGCTTGGTAAACTGGTTGATTGCATGTCGTCGTGACCTGACTGCATGGATTGTTGCTCAAAATATGGATTTAGACTGGGGCTGTTATAATTCACTCGCGTATTCTGTGAATTGAACCGTATCCCTTCATCAATTCAGTTCATTATTCGCAATTGCAAGTTGATGAGTTTCTTAAATAGGGGAGTTTTTACTGAAATGTGAACTTATATCAGTTAGAGATGCAAAGTTAAATGTATCCAAGCCCAGCAGGATGAATCCAACACTCTTCCATATTTTAATTGACCGCCTCCGTGTAGTGGTTAGAACGTCTGCCCAGAGAGCAGAAGGTCGTGGTTTCGATCCCCGACCGCGTAATACCAAAAGATGTTAAAATATGGTACTTGTTGGTCCCTGCCTGGCGCTCAGCATTAATGGGTACAACAAGGACTGGTCGGCTCGGAGTCAGTATAATGTGTCTGAGTGGGGTATTCATGCTTCACTGCGGCATGGTATCTCAGTGGGCTAGCACTATAAAACCAGCTTCAGTCTGGCCTAGTACAAGCAGCCACACATACACACGCATGCACGTCGTCATATGAGCGAAATATTCTCAAGCACGACGTTAAACCCACTTTCACCTCACATATTTAATTTATGTGGTCACTCATCATTGCAATAAATGAACACATGTTTACCATGACATGTTGTCAGCATGAACAAAACGTATCCAAGAATATATAGTTACAATTATCCACTCACATGTTTCATATTCGCCTCATAGTTTATTCTCTGCAGCAAAAATCTTACAGGCTGCCATCTTATAGCTGAAATATTGAGAGGTAGACAGCCAACAAACTTGGATACTTGTTATTGTTTTTTACAAGATGCATTCATTCAAGATGTTCTAGTAGTCACTCTGCTGTGACAGACTTAGGTCATATATACCTACTGAATCAAATGCAGGGTTCAAACACTGCCATGAATCTCTTACCCTCAGGTATTGCAGGACTCGCCAGTATTAGATCAAGTTCCCCGTATGAGGCTGGATAATATTTCGTCTGTGGAGGAGGTCGACACGCTGACAGTCAGGCAACTGAAAGAGGTCCTTGCAAATAACTTTGTCGATTACAAGGGGTGCTGTGAAAAGTCGGAACTCACTGAACGAGTGAAGCGGCTGTGGAATGAAGAGCAGTTAAACAAAGACAAAGGTAACTGGGGAACGCAGTGTTTTCTGTCCCCAGGACAGCTGGGTTCACATTGTGGGTGGTCAGGTTATTTGTTAAAGATCCCTGGTTATGCCGAAGACCTGCTCTCAATTCTCCATGTCTGAAGCCCATTTCTGGTGTCTGATGCTGTGATATTGCAGGAATATTGCTGAAAACAGCATAAGACCATATTTCGTCTCGCTCGCTCACTCACTCACTCACTCACTCACTCACTCACTCACTCACTCACTCACTCACTCACTCACTCACTCACTCACTCACTCACTCACTCACTCACTCACTCACTCACTCACATCCATGGTGACTAGGAAAGCCTTGAATTGTAGAGTTTGTCTTGAAAAGGCCAACAATCAGCATTTTTCTTGAAAATGACTTTAAAAATCCTGGAATTATACTCTAACTACACATGAAATTCTGTTTTATATTTATATGCAAAAATTCAAGTCTTTTTCAGTGAACTTATTCAGATTCAAGGCAAATAAATAACACAAACAAGATGTAAACATGGATGTAATATAAAGGGAAGTAACTCAGCCCAGATTATGGTTGCATTCTGTAGGTAGAACAATTGTAAATGCAGCAACAGCATGTGTCCACCATGCAAACAAAGTATCCAAAATTAACTCTTCCTGAAACTGAATCATGAAATAAGTTCTCAGACATTCGCAATCAAGTTAAATTTGTTAACGACAAATCTGTGGACATGACATCTTCATGTGTGACACCATTTGACGCCAGTCATGTGAATATACATTTGAGATGGTTTGTGATAACATGTGGTGTCTATTCAAGTTAGTGAGTATGGCATCTGAGAATGGGTACCAGGTGGGATTGCATGTTGATGTGACTTAACCGAGCATCATCACTACTGGAGACTACAGACAGTAGGCAATAGATGGCGGCGCTTGGGTAGCCTTGTGGTTGAAACTTTGTCTCATCATGCCACAGGTCTGGGTTTGATTCCCCAAATGCGTTTCAGCATCTCAGCATTTCAGCATTGTCCCAAACTGTTATGTGGTTGGATCGGATACAGCTTTTTGAGAGGGGGCGTTGCATAGTTCAGAAAGGGTGGGGGTGGGGAGGTGCACAGTTCCTTTTCATCCATTTTCACAAGAGTTTCAATGGTCATTTTATTAAACTATAAACTTGCAGGACAAAAGATGGGGTGGGCAGCCCTGTCTGGTTCCGCCTATGAGTGGTTAGGATACTGTGTTACATGTTTTCGGCATAGAATATATGTTGGATAGGAAATGGTTTTGAATATTTTTGAGTGACACCATGACAGCTACAGAGCTATGGATCTGTATATTGGTCATTGTTTGCGACCTTCTCACACTTCTTTCTTCTATTTACAGCTGACAAGATGAGAGAGAATGCAGATAAATTAAGTAAGTATTAATAGTTTACTTGGATGCCTAGGGCTGGTGGGTAGCCTAGTGGTTACAGCATTTACTTTTCATGCTGGAGACCTGGGTTGATTCCTCCCATGGTTACCATGTGTGAAGCCCATTTCTGGTGTTGCCTGCCATGATTTTGCTAGAATATTGCTAAAAGCGACATAAAACCATACTCACTCACTGACTTCAGGATGCAGACAATTTTTCAACATCAGGAGTACTTACTCCTTATTTTTTCAATATAGGAGTACTGGAAAACCTTAAGAGTACATTTAGAGTACTGAGTGGAATTTAATGGAGTATCAGTAATCTTGTGTTTCGTTTCATATATGCACCACAACATTGCTAGTCTTGCGTAAACAGGTCAATAAACAATACTTTTTTTTGATAAATACGTCCGTAAATGATTCTAAGACCGTGCACCATTGCCGTGGTGCGAGTATCTGCTACGTTTTCTAAATTTTTAACTAATCCTGCACTACTTACTTCCTGCACTTATTGCTTACGGCTCGAAAAGCGTGGCTTGCCAGACGATGTCAAAAAGACGTAGAACTGCAATCACTTCCTGGTCTCGGCTGCTTACTCGTCTGCGCATGCGTCACCGGAAGGTGACGTCAGCCACCTCAGATTATTGCTTTTCGGACGCTTCGTTAGACGTGTTGTTGCCAGCTCAACTTGTATCCTACGGGATTATATTTTGTGAAGCATTAATAAAGACTGACTTTGTGTGTATTTTGTTTTTGTACCTCTCACGAAAGTGTAGGTATTATCTTTCACTTTCTTTTTGTCATTCAGTAGTTCTGTGTAGTGATGTGGATTCGTTTATACGGTCCCGTCATCACACTTTCACTTCGCCATTAAAACACTTTGCATTATTTGATACGTCGTTGTGTTTCATTTGGTTCAGGCTTATATACTATACCATATAATAGTGGTATATTTATTGTGCCTGTATTATGGTCTCTTAAACTTTCAGTTATTTTGAGACTTTTGTTCTCAACTTTGCTGTTATATTCATTACTTTGTATGTGCGTTTACTGGGTTTCTGCTTCATTGCAGATCTATGTACAGCGCCAGTTGTATACATTGTCGAGGTGGGAAGTCTCGTAAAGACCCTCATCCCGATGTTTGAAATGTACTACTCAATGTACCCTGGCCATAAATGTGCCAGCTGCGCTGTGCTATCACCCAAGAGTTTCTCCGTTTATCTACAGGTTGTTAAGAAGCCTGGGACAACAGAGGCGGAAGAGTATGTCTACTACTTCGACACGGTCTTGGCGACCACTCGTCGTCAAGTGTTGCGGCGTCAACTGTGTCAGCGAATCGCCTGTCACCAGCATTCAGATTATGTCTTAGCGCTTATGTCGCGGGTGTTTGGCAGCGTTTGGCGGCTTGGCTTGCAGCCGTCGGCGCTTGGATCGGCGGCCTGGCGCTTCGGCAGCACACTCCCTCACCTCCTCGCTGTTGCCGATGTCATCTCCACAGCGACCGATGGGCCAGCAGTTTGCGCCGTATCAGACACCCCAGCCAGTGTTCCGGGGCAGGCGCCTTATGCGTATCAACCACATCACGGGGTTTCAATGCCTCAAGTCTATGATGCAAAGCGCCATCGACCACCAGCAGTTTGATGTATCCACGCTCAGCACTCTCTTGACTTTACTATCAGGTCAAGCCCGGTACATCAGCGCCTATGCGTTTATGCCACCAGCTACATCGAGCCTCTCTCCCCTCACGAGCCTCCAGCGCCTTTGCCACCTTTGCCACCTCCGGCGATTTGAGCCTCTGCCCCCTCCAGCATCGGTGCCTATCTTGTCAACTTTGTCTGCTCCTGTGCCTCGCTAACGTCTCCCGTTCGTCCACGTCTTCGACAGGCGAACATAGGTCGAGACCTCGTAGTAAAGCGTCTTCTGCTAAAGGCGTCGTCTGCCGTAGCCGTTCCCCTTTGCGTTTAGTTCACCGTCCTCTGAGAGGGACTTTGCCCCAGACTATGAGGAAGACCGCGGGCTCTAATCACCTTGGCTTTGATCCGCGTGTTTGACTGGATTGCTGATCGTTTAATAGCCTCAGTCCCTTCACCAGGCCCTGATGTTGCAAAGTCACTTACTATTTGGGACTCGCCTTCCTTAATGTTACCAGCACATGAAGCGGTCAGAGATTCTCTCTACCCTTGATGAAGATTTGGCGGGAATGTCTCTCAACCCAACTATTAAAGCCTAGAGTGCGTCGTGATGACTATCCTATTCATGGCTTGGACTTTGCCCAGACAGTGACTAAGGTGGATGAGGAAATGAAGCGTGTGACAGGTTCTTCCTCTGTGTCCTCCTATAAAGTTCAGGATACAAAGGGTCGGCGGCTTTGGACTTAGAGCTTAAGCGTATGCTCCGCCCTATATCGGCATTGGCGTCAGCGACTGATGCCATCACTCAGGATCTTAAGGAAATAAATCCGGATCGACTGGATCATCTTACAACTATGATGCTATGGCAGGGTAAAGTGATCACTGACCTGCGTGAACACCTTAGGTCGGGCTTGCCAGCAGCGTGCGTAATTAAATCGACAAGGCTTCCTCTCCTTTTCTTCATGGGATTGAATTTCAGCGGAAATTATTCCACCAACCCTGGTCATCGTCGTCACTGTTTAGCGATGCCATTCATGATGTTTATCGGCAGGTGTGTGATTTTGCCAAAGGGGAGACTGCCTTGAAAGCGTTTCAAAGGGACAGCGTCCTGCCTCCGCGTCATCCAACACCTACCAGCCTCGGCGACCGTCTGTTAAGTGCCAGAAACTCAGCGCCGTCTCGTGGCAGGGGCGTGGTGCCAAGCCTAGATCAGACAGGGGTGGATATCAGCGTCGCCGTGCTCCGCCCAGAGGCGGCGAGGCGTAGGGCAAGTGAAGTGAGGGACCGCATGCGACTGGACACTCCACCTCCAGTCGTCCCAGTTTATCCTACACCGGTAGGTGGGAGAATAGGGATCTTTTGGGAAAATTGGTCCATCCTAGAGGATCCATCGTCACCCGATATATTGAGGCAGGGGTTTGGCTCCCCTCCTCTCCGATCCACCTCTGACAATGTTCCGCTCCGGCACAATCACTCTCAGGTTCAACACAACCTTCTAGCGGAGAACATAGCGATTTTGTTGGAGAAAAGAGCCATCGAACTCCTCCGTATCCCATCATAACACCAGGGTTTTATTCTCCAATATTCTTAGTGCGAAGAAAGGGTCCGAAAATGAGGATGATTCACAATCTGTCCTATTTCAGCGAGACTTTCCTGGAGCGTCCTCCGCACTTCGAATGGCGTCCCTCGAATACCTCAAATCTATGGTATCGTCAGCGACTTTCTCATCAGCCTGGACCTACAGGATGCATACCTCCATGTTCCAATACGCCCCAGCGACAGGAAGTACCTGCGCTTTATTTTCAACAATCAACATTTCCAATGGGCTGTCCTCCCATTTGGAATTTCAAGCGGCCCGTGGTTGTTCACCGCGTATCACAACTCCTATTTCCCGGTATCTACATTTGAGGGGCATCAATTTCGACCGTACCTGGGCGATTGCCTTATGCACCTGTTAGACCGTCTACTTCTTATACAACAGCGGGATTTCACCCTTCGTCTGTTGCGCCAACTAGGGTGGCTGGTCAACTTGGACAAATCGAGGCTTGTCGACTCACACTCTGGCGTTCATCGGAGGCCATTTCCAGGCGGACAAGAACCTAGTTCAGATTCCCTGGACAGGTGGGACAAGATTCAGTCTCTGATTCCCGTCGTGCACTCTCCCAACCTCTGTCCCTCAGAGAGTGGCAGTCACTTCTGGGATTGTTGGCGTCGGCGCAGGATCTTACCAGCAGAGGCGTCTTCAACCGTCCTCTGCAGCGTTTTCTTCAACCATACATTAAATCCGGGCAGGCGTTCATCAACGGTTTTGCCTTCCACCTCAGTTACATCGCTATCTTCTTTGGTGGACTGCGCCCATTGAGCGTCTTAGGAGGAGTCTCTTTGACAGAGCAGCCTCCGGATTGCCAACTGTTAGTGGGCGCCTCCCTGCAGGGTTGGAAGCTCACTTACGACCAGACAGCCTCCGGCCTGTGGTCGGTCAACACATCAACTGGCATATAAACAGTCTGGAGTTGGAGGCCGTGATCCTCGCTATTCATCATTGGGCACATCGACTCACGAGGAACTTGTCTTCTAGTGGCTACAGACAACACCACGCGTCGCATATGGTACATACATCGAAGGCAAAGGGTCGACACACTCACAGCTTCTCCTCGATCAGACATTTCGGCTCTTTCAACTGGTCGGCGATCTCCACATTCTGTTGAGAGTTCGGCATATTCGGGTGCCGCAATATACTAGCAGGCGCGCTCTCGAGACCGACAGAGTTGCTCCCCGCGGAGTGGATGCTACACAAGGAGGCCTTCACTCTTTTAAGTCACGCACTGGGTTATCCAAACATAGATCTGTTTGCCACCAGCCAAAACCATCAACTGCCAGTGTATGTGTCCCCAGTCCCAGATCCAGCGGCTTGGGCGGTGGATGCTCTCAGCCTATCATGGGAGGGGACTTCACGCGCATTATCGTTCCGCCACCAGTTCTATTACCCAAAGTTCTCGCAAAAGTCAAGGGAGACAACTTGCTTACTTACGACTAATTTTGGTCGCGCCTTGGTGGCCAGCCAGGAACTGGTTTCCGTTCTACAAAGTCTAGTGGTAGGAGATCCCTTCCCTCTACCCGCGGGAGGAACGTTCTAGTGCACCCTCACAGCCGTCTTCGCGATCCGGCTCCAGACCGATTCAATCTGCACGCATGGACCATTTGCAGAAAGCACTGAGTGCTAAGGGTTTTCGGCTAGAGCAGCCAAAGCCATTGCGACGGGCGCACAGAACTTCTACTAGACATTTGTATGGCGACAAGTGGCAGTCGTTTGAACGTTTTTGTTTTACTAAGAAGCAGGATCCGCTGACTTCCTCAGTTCATAGCAGATTTCTTACTTTATCTCCTAACGTCCAGGCGTCTGAAGGGAGGCACCATTGCCAACGCATTTGGCGGCAATTAGCTCTGTTTTAGCGATTCCCACTGACAGAAGGATTTCCAAAATCCCAGAATTACAGGCCATGCTTCGGCTCATTCCGACTTGAAGACCAGAAGTTGAAGTTTAGATCGCCCGGCATGGAATCTCAACACTGTTTTAGACCATCTCCGTGGGTGCACCGTATGAACCTCTTGATAACGCTTCCCTCGCTGATTTATCCAGGAAGACGGCATTTCTGTTGTCATTAGCTTACCGCGGCTAGAGGAGTGAGGTTCACGCCTTGACGTGACTAGGATCAAGTTTGAGCGCCGTCGTCATGGTTCTGTGCACTTAGGTATGTGTTGGGATTTCATTGCTAAAACCAACTACCAGGACAACCCTGATCGCCAGTTTTCCATCCCGCCATTATCATCTATTGTTGGCTCTGAAGGCGATCGCGGAATTACTGTTATGTCCGATTCGATGCCTCAAAACTTACATTGATCGCGCACCAAAGGCGTTCGTGTGGTACAAGGAAACGTTTATTTCTTCCACTGTCCGGTCCGCAGTCAGATGTCAGCAAAACACTATTGCCTTATGGTTAAGAACAACCATTCTTCAGGCGTATAAAGCGGCTGGGCTGGACCCCTCCCACGTCCTCTCATCCCCACGAGATTGAGGCATTTGTTTTCGACTATGGCACTTCACAGTAATTGCACTGTGTCATCCATTATGCAAGGTTGTTTTGGCGGTCGGACACAGTGTTTGCCAGTCATTACTTGCGTGACATGGCTGTCAAGGGCGTTAATGATGTCCACAGCTTCGACCATTGGTGGTTGCTCAGCAACTCGCCATTCCCCAAGAAAGTGACCCTCCTGCCTTGTGTTTCCTTCCACGGACCACCATGTGGGGAATGAGTTGTTTTCTTCACAAACAACTAGGTATGTCAGTTAAGGAGTTATCCTTGTTTTTCAAGTCCATGCTTTTGCTGCATTCCTTAAGCTTCGCCAGCTTTAAAATTAGTGGGTTCTTTTCATTTAAGACGAAGTCTTATTTGCGAATTACCGCTACCTGATCGTCACTTTCGCTAATTCGCTCTCTGTTATAGGCGTTATCAACGCCTTCCGAGCACGGGATTACGGATTGAGCTGGCTGCTATTACGTAAGCGAGCGATCCCTCAGATGACACGCCCACCTTCCAGCCTGTCGGATAAAGTGCGGGAAGTAAGTAGTGCAGGATTAGTTAAAAATTTAGTAAAATCTAAATATTTTTATATTTGTATACTTATCCTGCACTACTTATGATAAGGGCCCACCCTGTGCTATCAGCTACCTCCCCGCTTAGTTTTGCCATCTGTGGGATTTCTAAGCAATAATCTGAGGTGGCTGACGTCACCTTCCGGTGACGCATGGGCAGACGAGTAAGCAGCCGAGACCAGGAAGTGATTGCAGTTCTACGTCTTTTTGACATCGTCTGGCAAGCCACGCTTTTCGAGCCGTAAGCAATAAGTGCAGGAAGTAAGTAGTGCAGGATAAGTATACAAATATAAAAAATATTTAGATTTTACTAAATTATTTCCCTTATCTGGAGCCCTGCTGATTTGCTTGGGTCATTGATGCTATTGCTGGTACATTTTGGGTGCATTGCAACAACCAATCACTTGCAAGCGATGTACAGCGATTCACCAGACAACGGAGAGCTAACTTTCAGACGCTTGCAATCGCACCAATCGTTTGATGAGGTCACTTCGTTTCCAACCCAAAAGGTGGCTTTGGGAAATTTGAATTTGATGGCTGAACAAAAATCGTTTGACTTGAAAAGTTTAACTTAGGAAATTGGCAAAAACAGCTTACATCCAAGCATCCTCAGTTTGTTCCACAGGTTCAATGTAGTCATTAACAATCTAAGTTCATCACTCGAGACTCTTCTAATACATTCTTCATTAGGGCAAACAGTAATCACTCCGCCATTTTGGAAGAGTGAGAAACACCTCGAGCTGTTGCAAGCCTGGGATAAGTGATTCATTTGCTAACTCTAAGAGATTCCCAGTTTGCAAAGCACCCTTAGTCTTTGTTCAGCATATACTGGGTCTGTAAATGCTCCAGTTGAATATGGGTCTCAACTATGACTTTTAAAATTGTAAAGTGTACTTCTGAATAGAGATATTATTTATTATTATGTATGCATATTTTTCCGGCTGTCTGATTGGTCTAGAGGCGGTCATGTGACCGTCGACAGAAAAGCCTATTAACTCCAACCCAGGTCCGACCAAAATTCATATTGACTTGAGTTACTAAAAATAGATTTTGTTTATGTGAAGCATCAAGCTATGACATCATTCTATTGTTTACATGTCACAGTATTGTTGACATAACGTTATTGGTTTGTAGCGAAAATAAAATTACTTTTCTTGAGTAAATGGACATGTTTTGCTTTTTAGAAGCTTTTTTTTCAGTAATTACATAATAAAACAATTATGGACTTGTTATTGCTTTTCGCGGGTCCATAAAAACAGGTATTGACCTCATCACCATTCTGTAATTGTATATATGACTATGACATACTATCATTTGATAGTTTAACAGATTAAATGTAGTTTTAGGAAAAAGTCTGGCATTTCTTCCTTTGATTGGTAGATATAAGTATATATATTGAGTCGTCCTACTTGTATGTATCCATCAATGATAAGTGTGTGGCATTTGTCATGTGATGTGGGGCGGTGGGGTAGCCTAATGGTTAAAGTGTTCGCTAGTTCCGCTGAATTCCTGGGTTCAATTCCCCACATGGGTACAATGTGTGAGGCCCATTTCTGGTGTCCGCCACCATGTTATTGCTGGAATATTGTTAAAAGCGGCGTAATATAATACTCACTCACTATGTCATGGCTGCTTCTTCCATTTCAGCAGGAACGACTGCCAGTTCGGAGCAGGACCTGTGTAAGATATGCATGGACAATACTATTGACTGTGTTTTGTTGGAATGTGGTCACATGATCACATGCACCTCCCGCGACAGCGTCTCGCTGAATGTCCCATGTGCCGACAGTATGTGGTGCTGCGTTGTCCACATCGCGTTCGGTCATAGCCCTAATCGTGGCCTTGGAGACAGAACAACTTTCATCATCAGCCAGTCATTACTAATCCGACCATCATCAACTATTTTATAATGTGTGACAAGTTTTGCTGTCATCACATTTACAAACAAATCTATTCGGATGAATTGAGTTATCAAAGGTTTTTGTCGTGGAGTATTACGAAGATGCATGGCATTTAAGTATTTTATCATTTGTATTAGAAATTCTTCATTGGGAGACTAATAATGGACTTTTGTCGTCATAATTCATGAGCATGATAAAAGTATGTTGTTTCTTCAATATTTTGAATATATATTTATTTTGTTTATGCGAGCCAAGGTATAAAACATCCTTGACGTCAGACATGCTCCATCCATTATGTCCATACACTGCAACTAGGTGCAATCTTCATCTTCGTAACTGAGATGATAAGGGCGTCCACAGCACCAAGGTGCCGAGTTGTGCCTGAACCCTGTCATTGTTAGTTTAGATCCGAGATATGTCCTTATAAGGCCTGTAAGTCTCGTGAGGCGCTACTTCCGGTACTAAGCTGGTTCCCGGCTTCCTTTGCGCACGGCAACTTGCGATATGCGATACGGTACCAGATTTTCGGTGGCAGTATTTTCAAGAACCAGTTCTGGTTCCAAATTGCGTAACCGCCAAATATGACTTTATTAGACCGGACCAAGGTACAACCATGCTTGGCTGTCAAAGCTGTTGACAGTCGTAATAATTGGTTAATTTGGGGATGGTTAGATCGGCAAAATTGTTATTCCTGCAAGGATTATCAGTTCCTTTCTGTTAACTGACAATTACGAGACCATTCGAAAAGATATGAAACGCTGTTTGTCACCGGGAGTACCTGGGGTGTTACTGGAGACGGGGTGTTACTGGACATAGGGTATTACTGGAGATAGGGTGTTACTGGAGATAGGGGTGTTACTGGGGATAGGGTGTTACTGGAGATAGGGGTGTTACTGGAGATCGGGGTGTTACTGGAGATAGGGGTGTTACTGGAGATCGGGGTATTACTGGAGATCGGGGTGTTACTGGAGATAGGGTGTTACTGGAGAATGGGGTGTACATGTATTAACACTAGCTAGAAAACGTGGTGCTACCAAATATTTGTACAGCAGCATAAACAAAATGAACTGTCTAAATCTAAAACAATCCAACTGAAGCCTTTTGTCTTCAGACTTGCATAAGGAACTGCATGAATTTCTGAATTGCTTCACAGATGACAACTGGCTAATATTATGTACTATAAAAGGTTATAGACAAATATATGCTATATATAAACCTTGTGTGATTTTTCACCTACCACACATTACACATTATTCTGTTGTTTTTAGAGCTGGCGCTGGTGTAGGAACCAGTGAAGTATATAGTGTTTCATATGTATATGTGATATTTTGATAGATTTTGATAGATATGTGATAGATTTTGATAGATATGTGATAGATTTTGTTGAGTTTATATTGTCAGTTTTTTGCATGTCCTGGCCATTTATAAACATGTAAAGGCTCCTAGTATTCAGATATCTGATTCTCCAGGGTCCCGATCCACGAAGCGTTCGTAACGTTACGACCTGTTGTAACTCTATAGTTTATTATAGGCTTGCAAATGTCATAGCGCTACAAACATTTGTGCATCGTGACCCTGGCCCAGTTGCTCAACCATGACGACGGTGTATAAAATGTTTTATTATATAGGTAGTATTTTTCCTGTACCACGATTGGTCAAAAGACCGTCACATGATTGACTACAAAACACGATATTGACTTGAGTTTTCTGATAAATTACGATATTGACTTGGGTTACTAAAAATAGACAAGGAATCCCGTACAAAGGGGCTTCCCGCGCTTTTCAGCCAATCATATCACTTGGATAGATGGCACAGTGTGTGCATTAAAAGTTTATGTTAAAACCTGTTTCTCTTTCATTATATAATAAAACAATTATAGACTCTTGTAGAGGTCGATATCGGTTTTTATTGACCTGAGAAAAACAATACAATATTGTTTTACTCAGGTCAATAAAAACCGATATCGACCTCTACAAGAGTCTATAATTGTATAGTATTGTATGTATGGAATCCAACTTCATGGGTTTCAAAAAATATTCAGATGATGTAGTCCTTATCTTTCTTCTTGTGGATGCTATTCAAAGCATTCCAATTTTATGAATACCTATTTTTAAGAATTATGCAAAATCCTTGTTTTTCCTTTAAAAATATTGAAAACAAATATGTTAGAATCAGTTTTGTTTGATGTTCAGTGAGAAACAACTTATTATGTTAATGAGCCGTGGATTCAGTATAACCTTTTTGTGATTGGCTGTTGTCAAAGACTTCTGGAATTAGAGTATGTAACGGTAAGCGCCCAACTCTAAGTCAAATACAATGGTTGGTGTTTATGATCTTTGTGATCAGGCTCCTCTGAGTCAATGAGTTGGAACGACATAATTTGTGACAATCTACTCTTTCTTGATCTGATTACTTGCTCTATGGTGCTGTTGAAATTATTTTGCTGTTGGAGAGATTTTGTGAACCGCACCACAGTTTGAATTATGATGCCTATACTGGCTCCTGATGAGTACAGAAGATGTGAAATTTGATACATTTCTTCAAGATAAAGCTGCTCAGATTTTAGTGTTTGTATATATTCCGACCTCTGAAAGATTTTTTTATCCAAGTGACCTACAGGTAATAAATGTTATGGATGATATAATTAGTACAATATTAGTCTCTTGTGAAAATTCCGTAACTCTGCGTGATTACAGAAAACTGCAGTTTTAGCTTAACCCAAACGAACAGTCTAAGTAAACTTAGGCTCAGTATTATTTGTTACACTGCTATACTGATTCTAATAAACCGTAGTAGAAGGTCGCGTAGGCTAACTTTTTGAATTGACCAATCAGAACAGAGCTTACCAAATCATGAAAGTTAAAATTCGCACGCACTGTTTGAGCCTTTTACCTCCAAAACTCGAACGATTCCGATTGCTATTTTTCACATGATGGCTTCCGGTGATACACGCTAATGAATAAACAGTCAGCTGAAAACTGTCTTGCAAAAATATAAGCAAATAGTAACCATGTCATTAGAAACCCATAAGCATATATACTGCAGGTCAAATATCTGTGTTTTATGCAGATTTTCGCTTTTGTTGATAAATCAGTGTCAGCTGACCATGGAAGAAAAAAATCCAAAAACGTTTTGTAATTCCCTCCTTAACCCTAACAAGTAGTCGCTTGTCTGATTGGTTAAATCTGTTCGCCATCTCTCAAGATTTGATTGGATGGTCATAGGTTGCTCAAAGGTTAGCTGACCACGACCTTCTACTAAGTTTTGTTAGACTCAGTATAGCAGCGTAACGAATAATACTGAGCTAAGTTTACTTAGACTGCATTTTCGGGAAATGCTCAGCTGACCTGCTTCAATAGCAAAGATATTAGTGATGTCATTTGATTGTGATGTCATAGTATATGATGTCATACTGGTCTGCAAAGCATTATGACGTAATTCCTTTTATCGATATCTCTCTTCAATGATGAAATATACACCTGATTCAAGACACTGGACAAAGAACATGACTGTATAAGATAGCTGTGATCTTATTGAGGAATTTACATCACTCCAAGTTTGTTACCAGTATTGCTAGAATGTTATATGAAATATACCTTAGCAAGAAGCATAATAGTACTCTTATATTTTTCAGTCCATTTGTAAACAGTGTATTTTCCTAATCCTATATTATCTGCAGTTAGTTTCATTTGTTTCCACTTATCCTTAGTAGCCAGGCTAGCTATTCTCGAAACGTTCGTAACCCTACAAACTTCTTAAGCCCATTCTTAACACATTGGCTACGATCAAAGTTAAGAATTCTTAGGGCTACGAACGTTTCGAGAATAAGGCCCCTGTTTCAGATTGTTTGCTTCAGTATGTGTGCCAGTCTTATGGCTGACTTTAACTCACTGGCTTTAACTCGCCAGAATCTGTGCAAGTGGTCACAGGATTTGTGAAATGTAGGGCCAAGTTTAATAACCTCTGTATTGGTGGGTAGGTTTGTGGGATGGGTTTGTGGGATTGGTTGGGGTGGCAAGGTAGGAGGTGTTTTTAAGGGGGGAAAGACATTTCACTTGAAGAGAACAGAGTATTCCAGAAAATGTCATTGGACTCCTCTCTCACTGGATGAAAAGATATCTACCTCAAACAGTGACTTAAAACAAAATTGGACAAAATTCAGTACCTTCTTTAATATTTGATGTACAGGGTGCCATTGTACAAAACAACCTTAGTGCTAAGACTACCTTAAGTCTATGTTAAGATATGGGAGTTACGGTCACCTTAGAGCTGGATGCCATTGTACAAAACAACCTAAGCGCTAAGACTACCTTAAGTCTATGTTAAGATATGGGAGTTACGGTCACCTTAGAGCTGGATGCCATTGTACAAAACAACCTTAGCGCTAAGACTACCTTAAGTCTATGTTAAGATATGGGAGTTACGGTCACCTTAGGGCTGGATGCCATTGTACAAAACAACCTTAACGCTAAGACTACCTTAAGTCTATGTTAAGATATGGGAGTTACGGTCACCTTAGAGCTGGATGCCATTGTACAAAACAACCTTAACGCTAAGACTACCTTAAGTCTGTGTTAAGATATGGGAGTTACGGTCACCTTAGAGCTGGATGCCATTGTACAAAACAACCTTAGCGCTAAGACTACCTTAAGTCTATGTTAAGATATGGGAGTTGTGGTCACCTTAGAGCTGGATGCCATTGTACAAAACAACCTTAGTGCTAAGACTACCTTAAGTCTATGTTAAGAAATGGGAGTTGTGGTCACCTTAGGGCTGGATGCCATTGTACAAAACAACCTTAGCGCTAAGACTACCTTAAGTCTATGTTAAGATATGGGAGTTGTGGTCACCTAAGAGCTGGATGCCATTGTACAAAACAACCTTAACGCTAAGACTACCTTAAGTCTATGTTAAGATATGGGAGTTACGGTCACCTTAGAGCTGGATGCCATTGTACAAAGCGATCGTAGCGCTAAGGTGATCGTAACTCCAATACTGCAACATAGACTTACGGCTGACGCAGCGTTATGGTTGCTTTGTACGATGGCATTCAGCGTCTCACTGGTCTTTAGTGGGAATCACATTTGTAAAGAGACAGACGAATTACTGGAATCTGTGGCTTCAAAACATTACCTTGTATTCAGACATATAAAGGGAGTTTGAAAGTTTTCACTATTCTGGTAACTGAAATCCCCAACTTCCAAAACTTCAAATATGGCTTAAAACACTGTTATTGTAGTGGAGGTCAAGGATATTTAGAGAATGGAGATGTCTGTGTGTTTGTGTGTCTGTCTGTTGGAGTGTTTGTGTGTCTGTCTGTTGGAGTGTTTGTGTGTCTGTCTGTTGGAGTGTCTGTGTGTCTGTCTGTTGGAGCGTCTGTGTGACTGTCTGTTGGAGTGTCTGTGTGTTTGTGTCTGTCTGTTGGAGTGTCTGTCTGTTGGAGTGTTTGTGTGTCTGTCTGTTGGAGCGTCTGTGTGTTTGTGTGTCTGATGGAGCGTCTGTGTGTCTGTCTGCTGGAGTGTCTGTCTGTTGGAGAGCCTGTGTGTTTGTGTGTTGGAGCGTCTGTGTGTTGGAGTGTCTGTGTGTTTGTGTGTCTGTCTGTTGGAGTGTCTGTCTGTTGGAGTGTCTGTGTGTTTGTGTGTCTGTGTGAGAGAGAATAAGTTTTGCAGAACATTTTCCAGTATTCCGGCCAAGTCACCCAGGGGATACCATGTTGGGAATCAAACCCTGGTCTTACGTGCAATGAGCTAACACTTTAAACACACGACCACCCATCTCCCATTCTCTGGTGGAAAGAGAACCTTCACACTTAAACTTCCTGGCTGCTTAAACATGGGAAATTCTCTCTTTATTCAATAGGAGGCAGGTTTGAGGTGATTATTTTTTGCATTACCTAAAGATACATCAGAAACGGGATGATCACATTTTTCTTTGTTCACTTGCAGAAGATCACGTTGCAGATTCATATGGTCAAATGCGTTTATACATCTAATTTTGGTCAGACTATTCAGTTTGACTTGCAGTTATTCTTACAAAACTTATTCTTCAGGGTTAGGAGACTAAAACAATATTACTGGTTGAAAGATCATCGTATCTCAAATGCGTAGATCGATGCTCACTGGATTGCCTGGTCCACACTCGATTATTTACAGTCCACCGATATGTGAAGCCCATTTCGGGTGTGCCCCTGTCGTGATATTGCTGGAATACTGCTTAAAGCGGGGTAAAACCATACCTCACTACAGACCAGGGTTTTACACAGACTTTTAAAAATGGGAGTCATGGTGACTCACAAAATTTATTTTTGGGAGTCATGGTGACTCACAAAATTTATTTTTGGGAGTCATTTTCAATATTTGGGAGTCATGAAAATTATAATATTTCTTTCACACCACCAAATGAAACTACAGCATTGTTCAATTCACACAGCCAGAATTACTGTCTCCTCTGAGTTCTCTGGAATAATCTGACAGCTCTGTAAAAGTCAAACTATCATCGAACAATAATATGATTTTTTGCTTATCAAATCGATTTTATTGAACTGAATTATGAGGGTCACCCATAAAACTTGCATCAAGCTTGACTCGTATGATAATATTTTGAGAGTCGTTTACAAAATTGTTGCGTCAAATACGCAGGAATCACGCGTCATGTAAAACCCTGCAGACTGCCGCCATACAGCTGTAACCAACAAACCAGCCAACCAGCCTTAACCACAGGGCTACCCCACCACCCCAAAATAATATGACATAGTGAAAGGAATGTTCCTTTGGGACTAACTAACTACAGTTGAGAGAGTTAATTTGGTTGAGGTTATTCTGGCTGATTGTGGGTCATCGTGTCTCAATAGAATTGATCATTGTTCATGTTTTCAGTCACGTTTATGTAACTTGGGGATATGGCTGTCCACCTAGCTGTGAATGGGTACCCGGTAGGAAGACATGGTAATGGGCTGTTTACCTTCTAGAAGCTCACGACCTGTGAAGATCCAGGTTAGAATTGATCTTCAGTAACCCATGCTTGTCTTAGTAGGCGACTAATGGCATCGGGTGGTCCGGCTCACTGACTTGGTTGACACGTCATCATATCCCAATTGCATAGATCAATGCTCATGCTGTTGATCACTGGATTGTCTGGTCCAGACTCAGTTATTAAGAGACCGCCGCCATATAGTTGGAATATTGCTGAGTGCGGCATAAGACTAAACTCACAGAGTCAAGAAGCTCACAGGTAGCTCGGTTATATTCAACAAGAAGATCAGTGAAATTGACTGCACAGTGACCCACTGACCTGGGTTAATAATGAGGCACTTTGACCATGCTGACATTGGGATTACTGACTGAAACAATATTCACTCTTCTCTGCTACATGAATAACTTGGTGGTCCCTGTATACTTGTCACTTGTTATCCCTTCCACCCAGCTACAACACCAAATGAAGCAAGGTGAGATTTTCACTTTCAATCTCATGAGGACTGCCCTTAAATTTAAATGGCGTTCTTTCTTTTATAATATTTATAATCATAATACTAATTCTATATTTTCAGAGACTAAGCATTTGTCTAGTTCTTGTATTGAGTTGATATGGTTGAACCGCATTTCTGCATGCAAATATTTTTACAAGTTCTGACTTGCACAAAGATTGTGATTGCTGGGAAAGACAAAATTAAAGGTTGTCTCTGTACAAAGCTGATGTATCAAGTGGATGTATTTTTGCAGTGCTGAAGTATTATGTTGACCAGACTCATGAATGTATGTTTTGTAATTGTCACAATAAAATATGTGTTCATCACACGGCAGTAGTATAAATGTTTTTCTAAGGTGTAGATGTGTTTGTGTTTCCCTCACCACTGGACCAGCCCGGGAAGATCCGGGCTAGCATTGATCTTCAGTAACCCATGCTTGTCGTAAGAGGTGATCACTAACGGGATCGAGTGACTCGCTGGCTTGTTTGACACATGTCATCGTATCCCAATTACATAGATCGATGCTCATGTTAATCACTGGATTGTCTGGTCCAGACTCGATTATTTACAGACATCCAGCTGGAATATTGCTGAGTGCGGCATAAAACTAAACTCACTCACACACATTCACTAAACTGATGAATAACCAATCCACTTCAGTTGTTAGATGTACTGAAAGTCATGCTAGCCTACATCAAGGCCACTGCTCAGCTTCATCGTGTTTCATTCCACGAAGCAACCTTGGCACTATAACTGTCTAAAACCTATGTTGACTACACCATTCATAAAAGTGAGTGAGTTTTTAGCGTGACTAGCGAACACTTTACATTACCCAAAGGCCTTATGTTCCATAAGGTAGAATGAAAGATAATCTTCATTTATGATGCATGCCAAATTTTTTTCTGAGACCAACACAAAACATTTTGCTCGGATTCAAATCAATGCCACGTCTCAAAACATAAACTCACAATATTTGTGAAATATCCTATGCATTTATGATCACTATCATGCATATTTCAAGTTTCTTCCTGTCATTTGGGGCGGTGGGGTAGCCTAGTGGTTAAAGCGTCACGCCGAAGACCCGGGTTCGAATCCCTACATGGGTACAATTTGTGAAGCCCATTTCTGGTGTCCCCGCCGTGATATTGCTGGAATATTGCTAAAAGCAGCGTAAAGCCAAACTCACTCACTCCTGTCATTTAAAATACAACATTAAACAAAGGTCAAAGAGTGTTGCTTTATTCCATTAAGTAACAACACTTAAATGTAAACTGATGGTATCATACAAATAGTTGTTCTGTACAATTTCTTCTGCAGACACCACAAAAGCACATACTAACAAAACGGGGGGCAGTTCGACAGTACATGAAAAAACAATGATGCATAAATTATTATGCTGGTCCTACTCTACAAATAATCTGATTGCAGAGCCATGTGAAAGATATTAAGCAGTTATCTCCCCTTCACACTCATTCAGGCACATGACCTTTTTATATCACAGCTAGTTGTTTATTGTCTCTGATGGGTGCAAACAGAATCATATTGAAAGAAAACCGATTTCAATATAAAAAGTGACTTATCACTTTCTTTAACAAAAATGACAAAACTCATGAATCATGTCATGGTGGTCTGCTATGTCGAGCACATGCAGTGACATTCAACCAAATAATAACAAAGTCATTAGTATTTACACCTAAGTGCATGAACGCTTCAATCACACTGAGGATATGTCATTGCTAGAAGCTTCACACAGACTGACATTCTTAGGATATCACTCAGATACTCGAGCACAAGGAAACACAAGTGTCCCTGCCAAGATCATTGGACCAATCAGTTTCATTTCTGATGCACTTAACCAATCAAAATGCACTGTTTATGCTTCGTCTTCCTCATCGCTCTCCCCAGTTCTGCGCTTCTTGTACGGCACCACTCCACCGATGAGGCCGTTGGCTGTGTTGAACAGGTTGATTGGCGTGCTGCCATCTGTGATGAGGGTGGACTTCAGTCCCAGAGACTGCAGCAGCTTCACCTGCAACTCCGGCCCCGCGGCAGCCATCGTGCGCAGAGTGTCTGCACCCACTGCACTGACCATCTCCTTGAACTTCTGGGTCTCAATGCTGGAGATCTCGCGGGATTTGTCAAGTTCAAGGTCATTTTGTTCCTTGACGTACCTCAGTTCGGCATCACGTGCTTGGGTGAGACGCTCTAGTTCGGACTCCTGTATTCAAAATATCAAAATCAAAATGTCAATGATGCTAAAAATAATGCCAACAGCAACATGTAGTAAATTGTTCAATATTAACTTATGACCCAGAAAGAAAGTATAAATCATTTCATTACATTCATTAGAATTATTCTTTAAGTCTTCAGGCTGATTCTAATATTTCAAGAGATTCCATCAGTAGATATGACTGAACAGTTTACAGAAACTAAGGACATGGTGCCTGATAGAGCTCATACATTGAGAATATGTTGGAGGACCACATGGCAATCAGACACAGAATGGCAGAAATACCTAGGCAAACTTACAGCTTCAATCTTCATGGCCTGTGCCTTGAGCTTGGCCTGATCTACAGCAGCTTCTCCCTCGATCTTGGCAGCCTCAGCGCGGGACTGAGCCTCCGCCTTGGCCTGTCCAGTGCTCTCCACAGCAGCGCTGTTGGCCTGCAACTCCAGCAGCTCCTTGCGGGACCTCTCAGCCTCAGCCTCATCGCTGATCTTCTGACGCTCCAGGCGACCCTTGGCTTCCTGCTCCAGACGCTCGGCCTCATGTCTGAGAAGACGAAGTAACAAATAATTGCACTTCTGTTCAGTGATGGAGTAGAATTAATTAAACACCCAATGCTGGCATTAAATTCAGCTGCAAAAAACATTCTTACATTTTCAAAACTTTAAAGCATTGATGAACATTGACAATTCAATAAGTTGTTAAATCTCCAAGTAATGACTTCAATGAAACTTGACCAACGGTCTAATCTACATATCATACCTCCTTGCCTGAAGTTACAACAGTAGCTTGTTAACTGGATTAGACATCTTATGACAAACATTGTTGCCATAGTTACCTGGCTGCAGCTTCCTGGGAGTTGGTGGTGATTTCAATTGCGAGCTGCACGGACTTCATCAAAGAATCGCGTGTACGCTGGTCGACAGGCTCCACGGACTGGATGTCAATGCTGGTGATGAAGAGGTTGTTCTGGGGGAAGGTGAACTTCTCCCTCACTTTGTTCTTGTCATCAAGACCAAAAACAGAAGCTCGGATGATCTTGGCAGAGTTCTGGAAAATATAGTAGATAAATAAATAAATTTGTTAAAATAAATTAAAATTAAATAATATAATGAAATAATGTTTCTTGTCATAGATAGCTCAAGGATAAATGTCAAGATTTTCAAACCAAACCAAACCATTTTGACTGCATGAACAGACAGATCATACACACCATGCAGTTAAAGGACTGGTAAAAAAATGAGCATGGACATACTACCTATTAAGGACAATAATGGACACAAACATGCATACACACACGCACACAGACACAGGCACATACACAAACATACATGTTAAGAGTATGACATCTTAAATCCATATCTCTATTGTGGTATATAAAACTCACTTTGTGGAAATCATCGAACTGGACCTGAGCGACGGCCCCTCGGACACGTGAAGCAATAGCCTTGCAGGCATCTCCTGTGAAGTCTGGCACACTGAACAGTTTAGCTGCCTCCACATCAGACTTCTCAATCACTTCAAAATGCCTACAAAAGGAAACATGTCCGAAACGGTTCATGACAACTGACACAAACTTCATTGTCTGACTTAATTTTCAAGTTGGGAAATGGACATTACCAAGTACCATGTGAAGATGCTTTGATTAAGAAACACTCAGGATCAATGTGGTGGTATGTGATCTTGTGCATAGAGTCCAGGACACAAATCAGTTAAAGTTATGCAACAGTGGTCACGGAAAGTAATTGGATCGGTGACATCTTGTATTTGTCATCTTGACTCGTGAGAGTTTCAATGACTTCTGTCTTACACTAGTGGTCTCCCCAAAGGTAAGTGAGTTTGTTAAAATTTGCCTCGTTCACCCAGCAGTGATTGGGTACCCGGTAGAATAAGTCATATGACTGGTAACCTTCTAGCGCTTTGCAGGCAGCTTGAGTTGTTAATAATGTCTTAGCTCCTTGAGCATGCATAGCTGTGTGGGTGCTTGTGCTTCATAAATGGCCATTATTATAATCTCATGAAAATATGAACTTTGCTCACTATCACTAAACAGCTTCCATCCTTGCATTAATCACTCTGACAAGCCAACTCACCAGTTGTATGACAGCTGCAGGGACAGCCGGGCGTGGTCTGCCGTCTCCACGATGATGATATCGGTACAGAAATCTGGTCCCAGAAGCAAGCACAAACTCTTGATGACGTTGGGTTTCTTGGGCTTACCACCAGACAGACTGAGCTGTGTGAACTGCTCGTCAGGGCCCAACATCACCAGCTCAGGTCCAAACACAACCCTGAAACACAACATGACCTTGTGAACTGTCCAGCATGTTAAACAAAACAAGAAGACAAAGTCATCGATATCCCCCTCAATGGCAAAATACTCTTCTACTCTCTACGAGTTATGATTATGTCAAATATTTAGGTGTGTATATAGAAAAGTGGAAGGAGAGTATTGAAAGGTTTTAAAGTTCTGCTCCAGAAAGAGTTCACCACCAGATCTATCTATGTGCACTATCACACAATTTCAGTCTAAATCAAACTTGTTGCCATGGAATCGCCAAAAATATTTTATTCAGAATTCCAAAACTACCAAAAGGCACCAGTTCACCATCAGATCTATGTATGTGCCAAGTTTGGTGGAGAAATATTGAACGGTTTTAGAGTTCAGCTCCGGAAAAGAGCACTACCACCAATTTCAGTCAAAGTCGAACTTGTTGCCATGGAAACGCCAAAAATATTTAATTCAGAATTCCAAAACTACCAAAAGGCACCAGTACACCACCAGATCCATGTATGTGCCAAGTTTGGTGAAGAAATATTGAACGGTTTTTGAGTTCTGCTCCGGAAAAGACAAATGTGCACGGATGCACGGATGCACGGACGGACGGACGCACGCCGCACGCACGCACGGACGGAGTCCATTTTAATACCCCCTGCAAAACGCGTTGCGGGGGATAACTAAAAGGAAATGCATTTAACAATCAAAGACTTGACGACATGACTAGAAACAAACATGATGAACATTCAAATATTGGTTGTTTAAATAAAATATTCCTCTGTAAGGATGAACTGTCTAAATACTGTGACACAAAAAAGCCACTTCTTTCAGGTGTTTGTTTGTTTGTTGTTTAACGCCACACTCAGCAATATTCCAGCTATATGGCAGCAGTCTGGACCAGATGATCAACCTCATGAGCATTGATCTACACAATTGGGATACAATGACATGTATCAACCAAGCCTGATCACCTGATCCTATTAGACGCTTGTCAAGTGAGCCAAAAGCATAATCAATCAATCAATTTGCATTATGTCAAATGGTTCCACAAGCATCTTATTATCACCTGGATCAGAGATGAGTAGTTGCGTGGAATCAAAAAATTTTGTCCATCAGATTGAGTCTCTGTTTCAGGAAATCCAAATCCACTTTTGTCTGACAATGAAGAGCAACTTACCTGGCCTTCTTCTCCTTGTAGTCATAGATCTGGACTGCTGCATTGTGGGGGACTCTGAAGGTCACGACACGTGTCTTGTCTCGTGGTTTAGCTGCAACTTCACGTCCCCTATCACCACGGTCAGCAAGAGGGTCCTTGCCCTGGGCGATGAGATTCTCTACAATTGGAGGAAGTGTCTTCTCCCACAGTTCCTCGTCCTGATTGATCATGTAGGTCTCTCCAGTGATGGCACGCACCTGGGATCCAATACAATAGAGGAAGGTCATGTTGCGATCTAGATATATCGTTTGTTTGTTCTTTTGTAAACACTTCATTTGGCAATATTCCTATATGAGGACGACTTGTAAACTTCCGAGTCTGGACTCCAGGAGAATCCAGTGACTGACATGATGAACATCCATCTACGGTTTGGATGTCATGCAGCCAACAAGCCTCACCATTGGATCCCATTCTAAATATTCCACTAAATGTGAATTTTAGTTTTGTATCTGCATGAATTTTAGTTTTCGTTGTTGGAAATGTTAAAATTACATAGTTTGTAACCAAAACTGAATGGTCCTCCTAAATTAATGAAATTTGGGATACAAAGAAATCTATCCAAAACTAAGTGCGCACAGTGTGATATCTCACTCGTAAGTGAAAATAATCAAGTACATTTTTGGTCCAAGCCTAAAATAAAATCCTGGTACAGCAAAGGGAGGCAACCAATGGGTCTGAGGTCACAGGGCCTCCACTGGATGCAATGACACATAAATCAAGACTATACACCCTTAACATTGGTGAAATCCTCCATCTTTTATCAATTTTGCGTTAGAACTAAACAAATTAATTTCCATATACCTTGCCAGTCTTGATGTCCCGGACGTATATTCCCTCATTCTCGTCCAGTGGGATGGCCTGGCGCTTCATCACCACCTCCACCTCCACAGGGGGAACATATTCTGTGGGTCCACGGATCATCCAGCGATCGCCAGGGTTACGCTCACTTCCCTTCAGAAAACAAAAAACCACATTAACTAGTGTTCACAAACTTCAACTGTTTATATCCTTACGAATATTTTGTATAGATGATTATTATTACTCCCCAGGGAGTTGAGATTGATAATATGATGTGCCGTTGAGATTGACATCCAGTGATTGGGGGAAAAAATACCAGCGCCTTGAGCAAGCACTAGTTGCCTGGATATGTGCGCTATATAAATATCATATAATATTAGCATGGACAGAAAGTGTGGCTGAATAATGGGCTACAGACAATAAAACCTTTGTTGGAGTTCCAGCCGTGAAATATGTTTCTGCTGTGTTATTAGTTGTGTAGAAAATAGTTTTACTACTCACTGCATCCTTGTCCTTGAAGCACTCATTAGCCCTGAGAATGAGACCCTCATCTTCTCCCAGGATGTACACATTCTGAATTCCCTTCTCCAGGCGCTCACCGGGTAACAAGAAGAAGGACTTCTCTCCCTGGAAGAAGGAAAACAATTCCATTTTGAAAATGCTTTTAATAAACATTACAATCCAATTACAGAAAGCTAAATGATATTTTTTTGTATGCATTAACATTCGAAATTAAACTTTCTTAAACTTGATGCCTTTACCAGATGGGCAAGAGACGTTTGGGTGTGAGTGATGTTATGGAAAGAGTGTCACCTTGATGAGCTTCTTCCTTCCAAGTTGTGGTTTTCCACTCTCGTCAGTGGGGTCTAGGATCACGCAGTACTGGCGGTTGGTTAGGGTAGTGATGTTCACGACACCCACAACCTGAAACACAAGCACACTGGTAACAGCAGGTACAGATGTTGGATGATTCCCAGGGAGTTGAGATTGATAATACGATGTGCCATTGAGATTTACATCCATTGATCGAAGGAAAAACAGTTGAGCTAGATATTGATGCTGTACAAATATTAGCATACTAAAATACACTGTAATACATTCAGAGCAGGGGCGGTGGGGTAGCCCAGTGTTTAAACTCATCACTGCAAACATCCAGGGTACAATGTGTGAAGGCCATTTCTGGCGTCCCCACCGGGATATTGCTGGAATATTGCTAAGAGCGACGTAAAACCAAACTCATTAATTCAGCGCACAAAACACTGAAAAATGACCTATTAGGAACATATTTTGATGTGAATCTATCTTATGGGCCTCAATCTTATTATAAGCAGACCCTGGAAGTTTTACTGGTCTATGGTTGACAGTCCATCCACTAAGCCGGAGAGGGTCATACACAGGCATGATTGATAGACATAACAGATAAGACTAACAAATATGCGTCTAAGGGACCGTTCATAATTTATGGCTAGGGGGGTGATGATGATTTTAAGGGGTCACCCATTTTGTTCTTAGGAGCTGGGGAGCAATTTTGTACATAAAAATATGCTTAAAATTATGCTTAGAAATTATGAGAAGGAGGGGGTCATTGATTTTGTACATAAAATTTAGCTGGGGGGTGGGTGGGTGTGTGTGTGTGTCATTCACATTGTACATGCTTCTCCATAAAAATCATCATCACCCCCCTAGCCATAAATTATGAATGGTCCCTAACTGCCAATCAACTTGTATATCATACATACAATATATTTTCCTTCAGAATCAACACTTTTTTTTAAAACATTTTATCATTTTTTTGTAATTTCATGGAATGTCAAAGGAGAACAATGTAGTATTGTGTGTGTGTTATAACTCACCTCCTCGTACACGCCGGGGATGTGGGTCTCAGTGTCCTTCATTGTGATCAACCATTCCTCGCCGTTCTTCCTCACGAGGGAGAAGTCATCTTTGAATGTCTTCAGTGAACGCATGTGAAGTGCTTTCTGCAAAATCCATCAATACAATAGGTAAATTCACCATCTCTTCGAGTCAAATTCCTGCTGATTTACCACCAAAACCAGTGATCAGATATCATTTACAGTCAAATCCTGATGAGTCGAATGCCGGTGTCTCGAATATAATGCATAACTCGAAGTACCTGTCGGTCCCGACCATTCCCTGTTATAGTATAGTTATACTTTGAATACGGTTACACGAATTCATCTCATAAATACACACGATGACTCGAGAAGGAAATTTGGTCCCATGAGAATCAAACAACAGCAATCTTGTATACATAAGCCGAAGTCAGTCAATGAGAAGTTGATTGGTGTAGCAGACTGATCCAATTAACAAACCAGCGCGGTTCACACCTTTCCGCCATTGACGGGTGAGTTCAATAGGCAGATTAGTGATTTTACGGAAATCACTGTCTGTGCTAATCAGACTGGAACTGATAAGGTGCCCCTATTAGTGATAGGGAAATCATTAGGTAAACAATTGCTTAGATGGAGGAATTAGGATGGGATCATCTTTTTTTCTACCCTCATAGACATACCTATGTCTCGAATACATTGATAAGTCGAATGTATTACTTGGTCCCCAGCGATTCGACTCATCGGGATTTGACTGTACTTTGACACAAGCCCTAAAACAGCTTTGACACAAAAAACAGCAACTTCCCCACAAAAGTATACACCTCTGAAACAACCCTTTGAAAACACAAATTAAACACAGTGTACCTCTTAAACTCCTACTTCCTTTCATGACATCTCTGATGATGTAACAACAATCAACCGTTTCTGCAAGCGCATAACACTCCATACTACATATGTCATGGTCGCCATAACTTGAGTTGAAAACATTTCACTATGCATACATTCTGTGACACCTTTCTTTTGTTGTTGGTTTGTTGTTTAACGCCACACTAAGCAATATTCCAGCGATATGGTGGCGGTCTGTAAATAATCAAGTCTGGACCAGACAATGCCGTGATCAACAGCATGAGCATTGATCTAAGCAATTGGGATATGATGACAAGTGTCAACCAAGTCAACAAGTCTGACTACCCGATCCCGTTAGTCACCCCTTACGACAAGCATGGATTGCTAAAGACCAATTCTAACCCAGATATTCACAGGTTCATAAATAAGAAAAATACCGAAAATTACCTTCTCTGTGAGGACATAAGCGTTGACAACATCGACAACCTCTTACAGATGCTCCTGGGAGATAAGCTCCGGTCTTCTTGACCAGCCATTCTCCTCCCCGTGACCGAGCACTACCGTCCGCGGTCAAGGCATTCTTTCGCAGCCCTGAGGCGCCTGGTTTGGTTTGATAGCCTGGTTTCCTCAACCACTACCTCTTTGCGAGGGATGTTGATGCCGGTGGCTCTGATTGTTTCCTCAACCACTACCTCAATATCGCGAGGACCCAGAAATGGTATTGCATCCACATAGGGACTCCCCGGCCTTTGGCCTGAAAATTATATACCCCACCAGAATTAGATTTACAATCCAAGAATAGTCTGACAAATAGGCTCGGACTCTCAACCTTGATTTGATTCAATCATGTTAATATGTATCAGGGCTACAGGAAGGCTGTACCCTCAGAAATGGCGCTTCACACATTGCATCCACATAGGGACTATTTCAGAACTTATAGAGCCTTTGGCCTGATTTTGACACATGAGGAAACCCCGACAGAGGATCACTTTGCCGTGCAACACACTATTTTTCGGGCTAAAAAACTACCGCTCCTACCACCCTGACATGTTAGAATTTCTCAGATCTTCAAATCAAATCAAAATAGGATCTGAATCAAAAACCACAGCAGCTCGGACTCTCAACCTTGAAAATTGAATTCAACTCCCGATGTTAATATATATTGTATGTAAATACTAAACAGATGAAAACATTACCTGGAGCACTGACCTGACATATAACCATCAAGCCATGATGTAATATCCATAATATGAATGTAATCATTTTCACAATATTTATTTTGTTAAGAATCCATGCTAAAGTATTCAATTTCTTCAGTCTGCATTATTTATCCCATATGAGACATGGCAACAAGTTCAACTGATAAATAAATTGAACATTGTTACCATTGTTATAAATTTAATACATAATTATATTAAGCTTAACCAAAATGTGTGACAGTTGAAAGATGTGACATCACTATTGTCTATTTGTTCTACATTTTGATAAACATGTTTTATCACTTAGCCCAACTATAGTATATCAGGAATATACAACCCTTGGTTTTGTTTATAGTGTATCTAACTGGCTGCTTACATTGTTGAAAAAGACAGTAATTTATGTTACTGAACAAATATAAGCCTTAGTCATATCCAGACTGATTTCCCAGAGTTTCATCATGCCTTGCATCACCAACTGCCAACACAGTTTGGCTTGAGACTTGTTACCTCCCTTTGCACCAATCTCAGATGCATTCATCAAAATCTATTTTAGGAAACTGATTCAGGGCCTGATTCAAAACACACTTCTGCTGCTATATCACCATATAAGTAAACATGCTTGTGAATGAACATATCATGGTTTCTTCTATTCCCAGCCTGGCAAAAACCAGCAGTATCTATGATTTACATAATGTAATATATTCCAATTAAAACTGAATACAATACTTTTTAAATTAAATCAACCTTCTATTACTTAAGCTATTTTTATCTGGTTTGTACTTTTGTCATGATTTCCACATAAATCTAAGAACACCATATGTATCCACTTGCACAAAACAACTGCAGCACTAGCATTGAATGCATATGTTAAAGTATGGACGTTACGGCAGTTATACTTATAGCACTTAGATTGTAAGCCTATGTTAAGGTATGGGCGTTACCCCCAGTTATAGAACTTAGATTGTAAGCCTATGTTAAAGTATGGGTGTTAGCCCAGTAATAGCACTTAGATTGTAAGCCTATGTTAAAGTATGGGTGTTAGCCCAGTTATAGCACTTAGATTGTAAGCCCATGTTAAAGTATGGGTGTTAGGCACTTAGATTGTAAGCCCCATATGTTAAAGTATGGGTGTTACCCCCATAGCACTAGATGTTAAAGTATGGGTTAGATTGTAAGCCTGTAAGCCCATGTTAAAGTATAGGTATGGAGTTAATAGCACTTAGATTGTAAGCCCATAGCACTTAGATTGTAAGCCTATGTTAAAGTATAGCACTTAGATTGTAAGCCCATGTTAAAGTATGGGTGTTAGCCCAGTTATAGCACTTAGTTGGGTAGAACTTAGATTGTAAGCCTATGTTAAAGTATGGGTGTTACCCCAGTTATAGCACTTAGATTGTAAGCCTATGTTAAAGTATGTATGGAGTTATAGCACCCCCAGTTATAGCACTTATAGCACTTAGATTGTAAGCCTATGTTAAAGTATGGCGTTACCCCAGTTATAGCACTTAGATTGTAAGCCCATGTTAAAGTATGGCGTTACCCCAGTTATAGCACTTAGATTGTAAGCCTATGTTAAAGTATGGGTGTTAGCCCAGTAATAGCACTTAGATTGTAAGCCCATGTTAAAGTATGGGTGTTACCCCAGTTATAACACTTAGAATGTAAGCCTATGTTAAAGTATGGGACATACTACAGATAGCATGCCATTGTATCACAATTACATTGCTAAAAATCAAGCAACTGAATTTGATTCCAAATCCCAAAGGTGTCCCTGCTTTTCAAATCACTACTTTAACATGTTTAAGGCAAGATCAGAGGTCATAACGACTACTGTACGTACCTGGTCCCTCAAACAACCACTCGTCCCCAGCTGTCCTCTTCTCCCCAGTCTCATCCTCAAAGTCCAAGATGGACCGGAGACGAAGTGCCGAGTTTGCAGGAACTACTTTTAGTGGAGTGACAGGCTGCAATGCAGATTTGATTATCATAAAAGAGAATATACCATAGAATACAAATACTACTCAGATAATCAGATATGGCTTTTTATTTATATCCATTCTACATATGAGAATAAGTTTTGTTTAACATGGAAAAACAAGACTATGCTTATCAAAAGTTGTGTTGCATACTCCAAAATCTAATAAATAAATAGTTCATTTGAGTTGGTTAGTTTGAAGAGTAAAGCAATTCTTTTTTTCAAAATGTACTATTAGCCTCTGTTTATAGAGTCTCGAGTTAAGTTATAAATCTTTTATAGATTATTCTTCCATGTCATTACCAGATATATACAAACTGGGACACATAGGTCTTGCTGATATCGGTACATATTCCTACCTGTTTGAGCACCTCCCCAGGGTACAGGGGGAAGGGGTCCTGGGCAAGACGGATCTCCTGATCAGCATGGAACAGTTTGGCCTGTCCACTCTCATTGCACACAATTTGGTCATCCTTGTTACGGACGACGGGGTTCTCGACGACGCAGTAGTGCCTAGGGGGCACCACGATCATCTTTTCGGGACCAAGGACAATCCTGGAATGTGCATTTAGAGTAAAGAAAGGCCCCCATACACAGTATATCATAAAATACATCCACAGTGCAATATATGAAGGCATTAACATTTTATATCAGTCACCTGCATGCTCTCTGACTTTGAAGGCAGTATTTACCATCACTAACTGAACACGTACCAACATTTTTAATGTAACATTGTTTACTTCACAACCAGTAAACAAAGCTACCAAGCACTTTTCTACGACATGCTTTTCTTCAAATTCTGTTCCATGTATTCTGATACATACTGATCAAAAATCAACCTTGACAAAATTATTCTTTTTCAAATAATGCCTTCTGTATCTCAAATTTTTGCTGATTCAGCTTTCTTCATTCTTCCGCGAATATCCAAGATTCAATATCTTTCTAGCGAAGTTGTCCCAGACTCACCTCTCATTGTCCTGTCTGATGTATGTCTTGGGCCCAATCTCCAGCCGTGTGACGTTGGTGTTCTGGTCCAAGCAGTGGATGTAGTAGTACGGAGGGATCCTGTACAAGGACTCCTCCATGGATCTCCTGGGTGCCGACATGCTGACTGTCTATAGGATAACCTCAGCTAAACAAACAACTCTGAATAAACACGCTGCAAGCATGGACCCCACCGATCACACCTCACTGTGCCCGATATGCCTGCTCCCTAACTGTAGTCTTAGTGAGTGAGTCAATATTTAATGTCCCAATCGGCAATATCCCAACCATATCGGGATGAAATGTAGTCTTAAGGATTTAACAAGGGATTAACAGTCGCCACAGAGCAACAGGCACAGTGATGTCTCCCCACACCATCTATCAATGTGAATGTACAGGGGCGGATCCAGGGGTGGGGTGCGCACCCCACCCCCTGAAAAACAATTCCCTGATGAACATTTCCCCCTAACCTCTGGACCTCATGATTTATGTGCACCCCCTTTCTCCAAATACGTGATTTGCCCCTGTAGATAACTGGACTGAACACATGGTCTTTCTCGTCATTTAACTAATCATTTTACCAGAGGTTTGGATGCTTTATATGAAAGAGATCAGATTGAGAAACTGAAGTTGTCAACCGATGAAATGAAATTGACTTGTTTTATGACAACATGAACCTACTGTTATGAGTGAGTTAATGTGCATGATATTATTAATTACCATGATTACTATTGCACTCTTTACCAAGTGGTATATGTGCGCACGCACACGCACGCACGCACAAGAAGTTAAATAACACATGTTTTCTGTGTGCATAATTCCAAAACAATGTGGGGCGGTGGGGTAGCCTAGTGGTTAAAGCGTTCGCTCGTCATGCCGAAGGCCCGGGTTCGATTCCCCACATGGGCACAATGTGTGAAGCCCATTTCTGGTGTTCCCTGCCGTGATATTGCTGGAACATTGCTAAAAGCGGCGTAAAATCGAACTCACTCACTCACTCCAAACATTGTCATTTTACATCTCAGCTTTTCAGTGTCACTCAAAACGATTTAATATGGAATCAATAAAATTACTAACCAAACAATATTCCTTGAGGAACGTATGGTTCCGTCTTCCTGTATGAATACATACTGGAGCAAGTGCACATTATCAGTTTTGCGGTTCTCCCCCCGACCTGATTATGGTCGCCACTAACCCAACGCTAACGCTAACCATTTTGGAAGGAACACTGGTTTTGAGATATTAATTAAGCCATAGGCTACAGGTATATCGACCCGTGGGTCGAACCTATCAATATAACTGGATGATTCGGGTGGACATGTAAGTACGACTGCCGCTTCAGGTTATTAAATTCTTATATATGCCTGCCTCAATTACTTTGTCAAAATTAAACGGTACTGGCGACATGATAAACGTTTTAGAGAATAATAGGAAGAATGAAAATAAACTTACCTAATATAATAACTCGTCCCTGCCGTAAACTGCAACAAGGAAAAAAAATAGATATGAACAATAGCCTTCACATGCTTTAGCTCAGACGCAGTGGAGACAAGTTTCACACGAACACGACTAACTCACTTCTGCGTAGAACGAGAAGTCCGGGGTTTATATGACGTCTATTTTGCTGCGCTGGCTCTGTGAGTCGAGAGAATTGACGCAGTTGATAAGACACGAAACCCGTGCCCACTGAACCGCGAAGACGGGATATCACACTGTATGTACCTGACAACGCCCCAAAGCAGCCTCGTCAGCGATTTCGACGACCACTTAGTACATTATTTCACAATGTTTACTTCATGTTCCTACGAGTCGGCGCATGCGTAGTATATTCCGTAAAACTGATATCAATGCGGATAACCTCAAGGCCGTCTGTTGCAATATCAACAGCGTCGTTGTACATACATGTAATTTGAGTCGATTGTATTTCATCGTACGTCAGTAATCAATGCCATTCTATACACGGCACCTTTTGAAACTTTACGAGGGGAATACCGTATAACAGTACGCATACACATGATATTATATAGTCTATTTTATTATATTTAATGCATTTCCTGGTATTGGTTGTCCTAACGGTGCTTTCTCGTGAAGCTAATCTTCTTGCACGAGTCATACCATGTAAACGGAATTCAAAGCATTATTCGGTCATGGGCTATTGCACCTGACTCGTTTACTTATGAAAGTAATACTGGATTTATTTTTGTCAACAAAAAATACCCTGTGATGAAAGTGTCCCTACAAAAAAATAACATTTCATGAAATACTCAAACGTAACGTAAAGTTTGTTATAATATATGTTATCATTCCTACAGAAAATACGGAGACAGAAACATTGTGGGAGAAAAGACTACCGTCTTGAGCAGTCGATACTACAGTGCACACTTTTGTGGAAATAATACACGGCAATTGTGATCATCACGCAATCCATGGCAAGACGCATTTTTTCTGATCACGTGATATGAAAGATGCATTAAAATTGACGATGTTATTCGTGCATAATTGCACATGTTCCAATCTGACAGTCTATATCGATCAAGAGGTCAAATAATGCCTAGCAACCTACACACGTACGTCTATTCAACAACGGCGCTCAAGGCCATACTATTCGTCACACACAGCAGAACAAGATCTCTATACCCGGAAGTTTATACGCGTTTTTATATGCTTTAGTGACAGACATCTTTTTTCAAGCAACTGGACTTTTGGAGGTTTTCACCTGCCCTATATTTGTTGACGCTTTGTATGTCTAATTAACTGTTCTCACGATACAAGCATCTTCAAAGTGGGCGTGTCCATTTAGCGTGCTCAGCCGACTTTGACTTCCCATCTGCACAATAATCAGCAACCAAGTGAATTCACACACGATTAATTGCGGTTTCATATTTTGTATATTTTGACATTCCAAGTTTTACAGTACATATCATTAACCTTTTTATATGAATGAACATGTTTCACAAGAACAAAGGTTTGCATGAAGAATAAAGACGAGCTGACCCGCTTTACAGTATTAAGTATCCGGGTCGGTTTGGATAGCATGACACATTTATTCCGAACTGTCATCACATTTTATCATGCTCAACGTGAGCTAGGTAACGTATAGAACCAAAATTCATATGATGAATCGGAAGTACAAATACTAGTAATATCAAATATCAGAAAAATTGGACCTACGGTGCGACACCTACCTTGTGTATTGTGATGTGTGGTGCAAGACCGGCTGTGCTGATCAACCAATCAAGTCGCAGGAGCATTGAGTATTATCTAAAATTAGCTGTGACATCACTTCCTCTAATGCATTCCAAGCGGGGTTAACCTCGAAATTGAAGTAAACACTACTTGTACGGACTTGTATGATATACATTCAGTAGATCTAGAATTTGTGATACAATAAAAATACATATTCATATAATTAAAATATTCTAAATGGTTTGCTTTATTTGAATTTGAATGTTATGGTGTTATCAGATTTGTTTCATTCAGGGCGTTCTGACCTGCCCGATAGAGAGGATAATACAAGGGACTGAACGTTGTTTTATGCCGCAGTCAACGGGTAATGAGTCTTGTTAGCAGTTTGTCAATGGCTGGTAACATGTGTTGGGGACATGCCAACCAGGTTGCACGTGTTGGCCGCATATAATCTATTTATAGAAAGCTAATAAAAGAACGATGTATCTGGGGAGCTCATCAAAAACCTGAATGCACGCGGTTTGAAATATTTAGAATGAATTAGTGAGTATGGTTTTACGCCTCTTTCAGCAATATTTCAGCAATATCAGCACACATGTGCCCGTGTGGGGATTCGAACCCGAGTCTATGGCGCGACGAGCGAATGCTTTAATCATCGGGCTACCCGACCACCCTTGGGATATTTAGATTCAGGAAATTAAATATGCTGAAGCCTCTTTTACATGTACACATTTACTTACAGGAGTAAATTTTATTATGTAATTTTAAGTTGAAGTTAAGTGCATATATATATAACAGAATGTTTTTATTTATCTATGTGATATTTATGACTGAACACCTGTACTATTTTGGACATTTTGTGCGTATATACAGTATAGCTGAATATGGACACACACACACACACACACACACACACACACACACATGTACTCGATTTAACTACACAAATTCTTGTGTCTTGTAGGTGGCCTTTTATTGAGAAAAATGCTACATTGTGCTGTTATTTTCAGTTCTCTTTCAACATATCTTTCATCTGTACTTTTGTACAGTTATGACGTTTGAGTGAAAAATGTCTGTGAGAACATTATGAGTCTTTCCGCATAATGAATTGACAGAAAGGCGAAAATGGAACAGATATTACAGTTGCTATTATTTATTTCGGAATCAGAATCCAGAATTATCGACCGCTTCATTCCATTAAGTACTTGGGTGACGTACTGAAAGAAAGAACGAGTGACCGGCGACCAATGAAAAGTCGAGTTATTTATAGAAAAGTACTAATTTCCCTTGGGGCATTTCAGATACCTTTAATCCGGCTTCCTTGGCAGGACGAATGCATATGAAAGTAACCGACGATCTGCGAGGAGTTATGGTTAATCGCCAACAGTGAATGAATAGCGTTAATTTGAAACGTTAAGAGAGTAACTTACCGTGTTCATTCACGATCAACAGATAAACCGTAATTGCGTGTTCAGAGTTGGTTATTCAAATTTCACCAATTGAGATTTAGTAAGAGAAAATGTAGAAAAATAAATGAAATCTAAACCTGACACTTTACCGATCGAAACGTCAGAACACTCGACTTCCATGCGGCCAACCATGGTACTAGACTATTACTTAGTCTTGGAAGTACACAATGTTGATAGAAATAAATATCTCTATTTACACTAAAAATGCGCCCTAGAGAGATGGAAGCTACGTTGCTTGAACATGAGGAAAATCTCATTCTAAGCTGTTGCGTTAGATAAAGGACTTGGAGGAAAGTGAGTGAGCTTAGTTTTACGCCGCACTCAGCAATATTCCAGCTATATGGCGGCGGCTGTAAATAATCGAGTCTGGACCAGACAATCCAGTGAGCATCAACAGCATGAGCATCGATCTGCGCAATTGGGAACCGATGACAACCAGGCCAGCAAGCCTGACCACCCGATCCCGTTAGTCGCCTCTTACGACAAGCATGAGTTACTGAAGGTTCATTCTAACCCGGACCTTCAAGGGTCTTGGAGGAAGGCAGAATGATATGGCGATGTCTATCTTACTGTCCCTGAACCACTATTAAGCCAGGGGCGGATCCAGGATTTTGGAGAAGGGGAATGCGCATAAATCCTGAAGTCCAAAGGTTAGTGGGGCTCCTCAGGGAAATTATTTTCGGGGGACAGGTGGGGCGCACCTACACTCATGTGTCAAAATTGTTTCAATTTTCAAGATGGCAGACATTTCGGCCGCGTCCGGTTATGGATACACACACGCACGCACGCACGCACGCGCGCACGCGCGCACGCACACACATACATACTTACATACGAGTGCACCTCTACACAATCTGTTTCATTTTTGACGAGTCATCACATTTAAATGAACTCATGCCATGTGATGGTTAACCTTCAGTGGGAAAAGCTAGCGAGAGAGCTATAGTGATACAGTCATTTTGGTGTATACGTATGTATTGTTTTGTACGCACCCGTAAAGATCCGGGTTAGAATTCATCTTAGCAACCGATGCTTGTCATTAGAGACAACTATAACGGGTTGGGCGGTCAGATCAGGCTCGCTGACTTTTTTTTTTTTGTAGTAACTGTGTTCCAGTTGCGTAGATCAATGCTCATGCTGTTGATCACTGGGTTGTCTTGTCCAGACTCGATTACTTACTGGGCGCAGTCATATAGCTGAAATTATGATGGGTGCCTGGCCGAGAATGCAATGGATATCGACCGCACAAAGTTTGTAAACAACCTGAATAAAGCTATTGTTTTATGGTTTAAACATATTTTATTCTATTCAAGAAGAAAGAAAAGGATTGGCAAACAAGCCTAAATGGCTTATATTAATGCCGCTCCATGATACATGTGAAGGTTCACATTTGTGCATAATACATATTTATAGTGGTTATAACAAGTTATCTCTGAATAATAACAATCATGGATATCAACAATTTATCTTGGTTTTGTTTCGTGGCCAGTTGATACAAATAAAAAAATAAGAGAAGCTACAAAACTTTATGAATCAAAACGTTTTGATGTAATAATGAATTGATGGACTGACCGTAGAATATCCATATTCGTCTGATGAGATACTGAGTTATTGCCATTTAGCACATCCCGCAGGGAGAAACCTTTCACATAGAAATACGATTCGTATCGAATGGTATTATATTTAGGACACATGAAAAAAATAGTGGAATACATCCTCATAATCTTGTGAGCAGGAACAAGAAGCATTATCAGAAATGAAACGATTATACTTATCACTGTTTAAGTCACTGCATCCCAATCTAAGGCGGCAGTGTATTATTTGACAAAATCGACTACCAAAATTTAGATCGAACATTGTGTTGGTATTAACTTGTGGTGTGATTGAATTCTTAAACTGTCCAACAGAGGAAGCGTTTGTAGCATTTGTAGGTAGGTCATTCCACAGTTTAATTGTATCGGGCAAAAACGATTTGGCATAATTAGTAGATTTGCATCTTATAGTCTGATAATTTTCATTATTCCTAAGATTGTAGTTACTGTTATCAGAA